TTAGGGGGTTTAGGGGGTTTAGGGGGTTTAGGGGGTTTAGGGGGTTTAGGGGGTTTAGGGGTTTAGGGGGTTCAGGGGGTTTAGGGGGTTTAGGGGGTTTAGGGGGTTAGGGGGTTTAGGGGGTTTAGGGGGTTTAGGGGGTTTAGGGGGTTTAGGGGGTTTAGGGGGTTTAGGGGGTTTAGGGGGTTTAGGGTTTAGGGTTTAGGGCTGAGATGGCACCAGGCTTTCCACGTAGCGCACCGTCACAAAAGAATGGGCCGCGATTTCGTGAACGCTTTTGATCCCTTCGCGCGACCGCTGGGTCTGGCGGGACAATGCGAATTCGCTGTGCCTGCCGTGTTTCTTGTCCGGCACTTCCCCAGCCCTGAACCTCTCAGCTGTGTTTTCCGAGAAGGGCTTTTTTCAGGGTGCCAAGGTTTAGGGTTCAGGGCCCTACACGCTAAACCGTCAGTTCCAGGTTACCGGGTACCCTAAACCCTAAACCCTAACCCCTCAACCCTCAACCCTCAACCCTAAACCCTAAACCCTAAACCCTAAACCCTAGGGGGCCCTGGAGCCTTACACTTTGGGGCTTAGCGTCTGGGGTTTTGGGTTGAAGCCGGAGAAAACAGAGCAGCCCGGCCTGCATCTTCTTTCGCCTCGGATCTCACGAAGTAACGCTTGGGATGGAGGCTCTACTATCGGGGCCTGAATAGTTAGAATAGGGTTTAGGGTTTAGGGTTTAGGGTTTAGGGTTTAGGGTTTAGGGTTTAGGGTTTAGGGTTTAGGGTTTAGGGTTTAGGGTTTAGGGTTTAGGGTTTAGGGTTTAGGGTTTAGGGTTTAGGGTATTTATAGTAGAATTATGAAGGGGCCATAAGGGAATACTATTAGCAGCTATTCCGACCCGTATATTACGCTTCATGCGGGGCTTCAGAGTTTTCGGGCTTGGAAGGCTTTGTCTAAGGTTTTAGGGTGACTGAACCCTAAACCCTAAGCCCCCTAAACCCTAACCTTAACCCGACTCTTGGGTTTAGTTAGGATGAGAGTTTAAGGCTCAGTCTCGACAAAGCGAGATTCGAGGGCTGGAACATCCGGAACGAGCCAGAAGACCCCTGGTTTTGGGGTTTCGGGTTCAGGGTTTTCCTGGTTTCAGGTTTGGGTTTAGGGTTTAGAGTTTCGGGTTTAGGGTTTGGGGAGCTTGCAAAACCCTAAACCCCAACCCTTGAGCCATAAACCCTAAGCCTCAAGCCTAAACCTCAAGGCTTCGGGCTTGGGGTTTAGAGCTGTGGGTTTAGGATGTAGGGGGTTTCAGATTCTGGGTTTTCAGGCAAAACCCCAAACCCTAAACCCTAAACCCTCTTAAGCCCGGCGGCAGGCGCTTCGCGCGGCTATCTTCGGAGGGAAGACGCTTCAGGCTGTCCAGCGAAGCGACGGTTGATGCGGAGCTCTTGGTTGATTCCGTACTCTCCTTGGAGGACTTTAGGGTTTAGGGCTTTTTAGGGTTTAGGGTTTAGGGTTTAGGGTCTAGGGTTTAGGGTTTAGGGTTTAGGGCTTAGGGTTGGAGGAGGAGGAGGAGGAGGAGGTTTTAGGGTTTAAGGGTTGTTAGGGTGTTTTAGGGTTTAGAGTTTTGGGGTTTAGGGATTTTCTTGGAGGAGGAGGAGGGTAATTTTCTTGTGTTTTTGTTTTGGTTGTAGGGGGAGGAGGAGGAGGAGGTGGTTAGGGTTTTTAGGGTTTGGGGTGTAGGGTTTAGGGTACAGGGAGAAGGGTTTAGGGCGTTAGGGCGTCAGGGCGTCAAGGCGTTAGGAAGTTTGGGCGTTAGGGCGTTGGGGCATTATGGTGGTAGGGGTCAGGGGTTTAGGAGGGTGCGGGTCGGGGGGCTTCAAAGACAAAACACTTGATGGCTTGAAGTTGGGATGTTCCCCCTTATACTAACAATCCTCAATAGGAATTTCAGTACCCCCTAGTATAATCCCCTTCGAGCAAGCCATAAACTGCTTTGGGGTGTTCGTGGCTTAGGAGTATTCTTTCGGGGGCTATAAGATAATAGTATTTTGCCCCCGCATATTAATAATTGCACAGTCTAATAATGTAATATTAGAAGTGCGCTGGCACATTATGATTTTATTATTACTAGCCCGCACGTATTAGTAATATTGTAAAGGGGCTCATTTTTATATTCATTTAGAGCCCCTATATTGAGTATTTCTAACTCGTTACTCTTCAAAGGGCCATCCATTACTCTTTTCTTATTTTACTATTTATGGGCCTTTTAACTGTATCTTTTCTATCACTAGTCCAAAAGTGCAATCATAAAGGCTTAGGAATTCTTTATCATCTGGATTCATCTTTGGACTCGCTGGAACATTCAACTATCTTCATCAGGAAATAGGGTTGTATCTCCAGAAAAAACCAGAACTGCTACAATATAAGCATTACATTGCATGGCTTTCTTATGATCTTCAAATTTGGCCTTGTTTGGAGGATTTTGGAAACTATTTCGTCTCCAGAAGTGGTATATCCTAGAGTCAATAATTTGTCTATCTTAATTCTTCTACTTCCATATCTTTCCCACTCCTTTCTATAATCTCAGAGTTTGGGGGTGGTGCAGGATGAACATGATGTCCACCATTAACCACTTCTTTGATGACTGTATCACCTTCAAGTACAGAAAGTCTTATCTTTGGATTGTTCATCTTCGGCATACCTTCATGTCTTGCTTCTCTTAACGTTTGGACAACAGATTCTAAATCTGAGATCTTAGTATCTGACATTAAAACTCAAAGGCTATCCCATTATGTCCTTGGGCTTGGCTTAGGGGGTTCCGGGGCTTAGGGTTTACGGGTTTTGTGGCGCTAGGAGCTTAGGGGGCTTCGGGGCTTAGGGATTTAAGGAATTTGGGGTTTCGGGATGTCGGGGTCTAGGGGTTTAAGGGATTTAGGGGTTTAGAGAGGTCAGGGTTGACGCTGTGTGTCATACAACTGGGGGCTCTAGGTGTAGCTCCACCCAAACCCTACACAGGAAGGGCGTTTAGGGTTCAGGATTTCGGCTTTGGGGTTTAAGTTTAAGGTTTAAGCTTCGGAGGGCATTGAAAAAAGGCGAGGCAAGGGTCACTGTCCACCGACTTCGCTTTGGCCGTCTTGATTTTGCGACCGCAGAACTCCATTCTGCTCAAAATCATGGACCTCGGGGCGTCGTCCGGCGGTCTGGGGGGTTTAGGAAGAGCAAAACTGAAGCTCCCTGAGTCCCTGAACTCAAACAAAACCCGCAACCTTAAAGCAACAAAACCAAGAAGCCAGGTTTAGGGTTTAGGGTTTAGGGTTTAGGGTTTAGGGTTTAGGGTTTAGGGTAACTTGGAAACCGCAAACCCAAAAAAAAAAGACACAACAACTTTCCTGAAGAACAGCCCGGCGACGCCATGATCCCCCTCACCACTACTACGGCTGGCAAGTGCCAACACGGAGCCGCATCCGGCTGCGGAGGTTGGGTTTCGCCCTAAACCCTAAACCCTAAACCCTAAACCCTAAACCCTAAACCCTTATGGAGTTCAGGGCATCGGGCTCAAGGTGCAGGGTTTGCTGGCCTTCAGGGACTCGGGGGCTGGGGCGGTGTTAGGCTTCCCTCCAGCCTAGAAGGCCCCAAAGCCTTAAGCGATCAACAAGCCCGATGAATCCTAGAATTCTAAAAGCGCCGCCATACCCCCAACTTGGAGGTTCATGGGTACTTGTAACCACAGATATAAGTCTACTTTCAACCTAGACAGAGGACTTAGGGGCCTTGTAAGTGCAGTTAGAATTGGGTTGTAAGGACCCTGAACCTCCATCCAAGAATAGCTCCACTAACCTAAACACCAAGGATTTGTCGGGCGAGTTTGGTGGTTGCTGGGAATGCTACCGGTACCCTGTAACCTCGAACTCCGAAAAAGCCCTAGACCCTAAGCCTATTCCTTTGGGATTTAGGTTCCAAGATTTTGTACTTTCGAGAGCCATCCCAACAAGTGGCCCTAAGCCCTAGACCCCAGGGAGGGTCTTCGCATGCGATGCGTGTGTGGTTTCTGGCATGTTTTTGGCTAGCGTGAAGATTTGGATTTTGTTGCCCAAACAGTATGGGGTTGCAACGTTCAGGAGATTTGAGGTCCCTAACCCCGAAGCCCGAAACCCTGAAGCCCAAACCCGAAAAGCTGAACCCTAAACCCTAAACCCTAAACCCAAGCCCAAGACTGCATTGTGAAATCATTGCTAAGGCTCAACTATTATGCATTCTGCCTGGGGGGGGGGGGATTTGTTGCCTTCCAAGTTGTGCTCAAGCAGTATGTTGAGCACTTTCTGAGCAATGGACAGCAACCCAATAACCCTTCAACAGTCAAAACAAAGAAAAAAACACACACATACATATATACATACATATACATATACATATACATCTACATATACATATACATATACATATACATATACATATACATATACATATACATATACATATACATATACATATACATATATATATATATATATATACATATACCGATATACATACATACATACATACATACATACATACATACATACATACATACATACATACATACATACATACATACATATATATATATATATATATATCATGATGTGTACGTATATAAATAGAAATATAAATATAGATATAAAATATAAAATATAAAATATAAAATATAAATAGAGACATATATGTACAGAGATACATATCTTGGGTTTTACCGTTTGGGGTGTAAGGTGGAGTGTTCAGGGCCTAAGGCTTCGGGCTTTAAGGTCCAACAGTCTCCATCTGGGGGTTTAAGGTTGATACGTTTGGGTACTAAGTCTTGGGGCGCTTAGGTTTGGGGGCTTGGGGGCTTTGGATTCCGAAATGCCGCAGATCGTGGAAGATCCAAGGATGCAGGGTTTAGGGTCTAGGGTTTAGGGTTTAGGATTTAGGGTTGAGTATCATTAGGCCTTTTGTCCCCAGCTTTGTGCACGGCCATGGCCTACAGGTCCTTCGCAATCTTAGACTTGAAGCACCCCTCCGAGCGCAGGGTCCGAAGGTTCCGAGGCAAAGACAGCGGAAACCTCCGAATCCTCGAGCAGCAGGGTCTTCTCAAGCACCGTCCAGCCCGTGCCGCAGGGCTTGAGAGCAGTTAGTTGGACCTCCACTGCTCTTGGAAACCCAGTAAAATGATGCCCGCAATACCGCTTGTGGAAGGAATATGGCCCGCCCACACTAGACATGATCACATGACCCTTCCTCTCGAGACCCGCACCTAGCCGAACATACTTGGTTCCAATAGCGTCCCAGGGGCTTCCTCCCCCCGCACGCCCACCAAGGTCACGAGCAGACCACTGCGCAAAGGTTGAACGTGACGGAAGCGCTTGCTGCTGACGCTGACATACTTCCCCACCTCCCCGAGGAAAACCCAGCCATTCTCCTCCATGGGAATGCAAGTCTGGGCTCCCCCTTTTGTAATTAGTCAACCCAAAGACGAGAGACAAGAATGCTGAGCTTCGAACATGTGCGCTGGAGGTTTGGAGGTTGAGGTTGGGCGCTTTCGGAGGTTCTCCTCCACAGGGGAAAACTGCCACAGGTCAAAACGGTGCGTGTCGTTCTGCACCATGATGGGGCGGTCGTCCAGGATGTGAGGGAAGTCACGCGCGACCCTGATCTCCGCGAGTAGGCAACCCGACACCAGCGCTTCCGAGCCATTCACGCAGAGGTTCGGACGATGGTTCCTGCAAGGTTCAGGATTCTGGGGGTCAGGGTTTGAGATAGGGTGTGTGGCTTGCACCTGAAAAAAGATTGACCCGTTCGCCCAGACGTGATCGGGTTGCGGGGAAAAACAATAGCACACCCAGGCCTATGCCATCTCCTCACCACCCATCTCCGGGCCATGTCCAAACTGGGGTAGAAGTCATCCGGCTGCAGCTGCCAAGGGCGAGGGAGGTCGATGGAGAGGGCGTAGTGCCAGATCTGGCCCTTTGCAGCACCCCGGACTTGGGAGTAGGTGGCCCAGACCAGGCCTGGGGGTGGCACCGTCCTGGCCTCAGGGGAGGGCTTAGCACAGAAATTTCTGAACGGCTTACGGAGGGCGTTTGCAACGAAGAGGGTTGCTGGTTTAGGGTTTAGGGTTTAGGGTTTAGGGTTTAGGGTTTAGGGTTTAGGGTTTAGGGTTTAGGGTTTAGGGTTTAGGGTTTAAAGTTTAGGGTTTTGGGTTTAGGGTTTAGGGTTTAGGGTTTCTGGTTTCGAGTTTCGGGTTTAGGGTTTAGGGTTTAGGGTTCAGGGTTTAGGGTTACTGGCCTCTAGAGACTGCATGTACACCGCATCGATGGCGGTCGCGGGCTTGTCCGGCTGCAGAAGAAGCCCGTCGGGCCGCATGCATCTCAGCAGCAGCGTGCGGTTCGTCTCCTTGGTTGCTGGGTTCATAAGCCCCAAAACTGTGCACTTGCAGTTTTTTGGGGGGTTGTAGTAAGCCCCAAAAAAGTGCAAACTTGCAGTTTTGTAGGGCTTTTATAGTTTAAAGTGTACTCACTCAGCTGCTAAGTCTCGTAGGCCTTGTCCGCAAGGGCCACCGGCCCTGTCGACAGCGTGGCAATGAGCGCATTGAGCTCGCAGTTGGATCCTGGGTTGTCCTGAGGGCCCCAAGGCCGGCCAGTTTCCTTAGTGTTGGTAGGGAAGGAGGGAATGAGCTGTCCTACATAGTCCCTTAAAGGGTATATATAGGGGGATATAGGGTACCTGATTCCCTCATAATCCCTTAAAGGGTATACAAAGGGCCCTAAGTCCCTCATTCCCTACCCCTAAACCCTAAACCCTAAACCCCTACTAACCAAGAGGATAAGTTTCCTGGGAGCTTGCCGGGCGTTGGGACCAGAAGCTGTCCTTCGAGGGCCTCAGGTTCAGGGCGAAGGCCAGCAAGGAGCTTCCTCTGGCTGGTTCTTAGTAGGGATTGAGGGAATCAGGGTTTAGGGTTTAGGGTTTGGGGTTTGGGGTTTGGGGTTTGGGGTTTGGGGTTTGGGGTTTGGGGTTGGGGGTTGGGGGTTTGGGGTTTGGGGTTTGGGGTTTGGGGTTTGGGGTTTGGGGTTTGGGGCTTGGGTTTGGGGCTCAGGGTTCAGGACCCTTTAAGGGATTATATAGGGCCCTCATTCCCTCATTCCCTACTAAGAACCAGGGGGGTCCTCCGATGTCGAAGTTCGCTTGCGAGGCGTAGTCGTCACCTTGGTTCTCCGGTATCCCTAAACCCTGAACCCTAAACCCTAATCCTTTCTCAAACCCTAACCTACCTAGTCTGCTACTAAGTCACTGGCGCGGTAGTTTGTGGTGGCCAAGAGCTCCAAGCTAACCAGGAGGTCGCTTGGCATGGCCATGCACATCCTTACTGCTGGTTAGCAGGGGTTTAGGGTTGAGGGTTTAGGGTTTAGGGTTTAGGATTTGGGGTTTAAGGGTAGGGAATGAGGGAATTAGGGCCCTACATATACCCTGTACGGGATTAACCCTATATGTACCCTTTACGGGATCCTATAGCCCTAGATACACCTTTAAGGGATTATATGGGGTACCTCATTCCCCCATTCCCTACTTGGAGGTTCATGGTACTTATTCACCCATGACAACTGTACTTCAAACTGTACTTATGATAATTGGCTAATACGTACCCCTAAACCCTAAACCCTAAACCCTAAACCCTAAACCCTAAACCCTAAACCCTAAACCCTAAACCCTAAACCCTAAACCCTAAACCGAACCTCCAGTACTAACCAACGGCAAGCATCTGCATCGGCACCATCCTGTAAGCTGCCGCCGCGTCCATCGCCTGCAACCACTTCCTGGAGCGCGGTCTGCTGTGTAGAGTTTAGGGTTTAGGGTTTATGGTTTAGGGTTTAGGGCTTAGAGTTTAGGGTTTAGGGTTTAGGGTTTAGGGTTTAGAGTTTAGGGTTTAGGGTTTAGGTTTAGGGCTTAGAGCTTAGGGTTTAGGGTTTAGGGTTTAGGGCTTCCGGACTTCACAAAGGCGCACCTGGATGCTCCGAAGGTCTGGCGGAGGTGGGGTACGGCCAGGAAGTTGAAATTCAGGAAGTCGTGTTCGAAGCTCTTCATCCCGTTCGCTCTCCTGGGTGGCCCAGTAACCATATCATAATAAGGGCACCCCTTTTTGGGGTTGGCCGTTTCTAGAAGGGAACCTAGAAACCCCAAAAAATGAAAGGGCAAAGTGTACCACTGGACTACCAAGCTTCCCAAAGTCAAACAGCATCCGATAGAAAGCTAGGGCTTCATCAGGATGTGGAAGTGCAAACTCAGTGGACCCATGGGAGCCGTTTATGAAGCGGAAGTGCTCTGTGTAGGCGTTCTCTCTGCAGAAGAAAGGGACATACCTTAAGCTCTTAGGGTAGTTACATTTTTATAGGAGGTAAGGGACCATATTAAGGGCCCATGAAACTACCCTAAGATAATGAGAAACCCCCTAAACCCTAAACCCTAAACCCCAAACCCCAAACCCTAAACCCTTAACCCTAAGAAAAAAAGAAACCCAGAGCATGGGCTCCTCATTCCCCAGACCGAAAGAGTTTCGGGGTGCCTCTGTAGGGGCTGAGCACAAAAGCCCAAGCCCTCAACCCTGCTAAAAGCTGAGCCCTAAACTTTAAACCCTAAGCCCTAGACCCTAAACCCTCAGCCCTAAACCCTAAACCCCATGGCTTCGCAACCTGGTGTTGGGATTTCGGGCGCCGTTTGATCGAAATGCCGTCGGATGGCAGCAGCCATGGCTTGCCAAGCGCCTGGTCAAGGCTTCTCAGGGTGTAGGGTTGAGGGTTTCGGGTTTAGGGTTTAGGGTTCAGGGTTCAGGGTTCAGGGTTTAGGGTTTAGGGTTTAGGGTTTAGGGTTTAGGGTTTAGGGTCTAGGGTCTAGGGTTTAGGGTTTGCCCTGAGAGCCCGAAACCCCCAAGGGAACCCAATGCGTTGCTACTCGTACCTACAGGGATCACAACACTTTAGCAACACCTACAAAGGGAGGGGTTTCGGTCCTTCAGGTCGTGGCAGGTACAGGGTTTACGGTTTAGGGCTCCCAGGCCCGAAAATCCCAGCAGCAGCATCATTAGGGTTTAGGGTTTAGGGTTTAGGGCTTAGGGTTTAGGGTTTAGGGTTTAGGCTTTAGGGTTCAGAGTTTAGGGTTTAGGGTTAAGGGTTTAGGGTTGAGGGTTTAGGGTTTAGGGTTTAGGGTTTAGGGTTTAGGGTTTAGGGTTTAGGGTTTAGGGTTTAGGGTTTAGGGTTTAGGGTTTAGGGTTCAGGGTTTAGGGTTTAGGGTTTAGGGTTTAGGGTTTAGGGTTTAGGGTTGCTCCCGAAACCTTGCACCCAACACCCGAACACCCCCAAACCCTCCTTCCAGTCAGGGGCCCCACCAACCGACAGAAAGTTCCCCCGTAAAAGCTCCAAGCCCAGCAACTCAACTTCGCCTCAAGGCTTAGGCCTAAACCTTACGGCTGGGTCGAAGGTCTTCTATCAGCAAAGCCAAAATTCACGTGGGGGCGAGGGGTTGTGCTAAGCCCCTCGACCTTTGATGGTGCAAGCCGACTCGGGTCGTGCCGGAGCTTGCTCTCGGAGGGAGCAATACTGGCCCCTCAAGAAAGCACACCGCACATGCCCGAAACTTCGGCGTAATACTAAAGCAATTGCGCTTGCCACCCCTACCCCCTCGAAAAGATAATGTTCTTCGATCATCCGCATTCTACGGCCACGTGGCGGGACTCTTTGCGGAATTCTCTGAGAGCAATCCAGGGATACTCGGCGGGACTCTGTGGGGCTTGTTGACACTCCAAAGGATACTGGGGCGGGACCGGGCGAGGAGGCGAGATGGCGATGAGCGAGAAGCAGTCGAACAACCCGCATCAAGAATATGAAAACTTGCGCGCAGATGAGGCCTTTTGGAGGTCGCCCAGGCTGCTATGGAAGCCAGCCTGGCCAAGCACCCACTCCCTGACCTTTGCTCAGCTTCGATGGCTTGGAGTGGGTTGGGTTGGGTTGAGGGGGGCGGGGGGGGGGGGAGTGAGCTGAGAGGTTTTGGAGGACTGCAGAGGCTTGGGGAAGTGACGGGAGATGCGTGGACGTTGGTGGACTTGGCCACCTTTTGGAGGGGTTTGGGGCTTAGCCTTAACCCCGAAAACTTCAAGCAAGCCTCCAGCAAACCCTAAACCCTAAACCCTAAACCCTAAACCCTAAACCCTAAACTAGGGGTCTGGCACAGTGAACGTACACAGCCGGATGCCCTGGGTACCACCAGTCATCCAGCTGCCAGACATGCACCGCCTCGGTGCAGCTGGGCGCTGATCTGGATTCTGGGCAGTTAGGGGGTAGCTCTTTCGCGATTATGAAGGGGTGTTGAGGGTTTAGGGTTTAGGGTTTAGGGTTTAGGGTTTAGGGTTTAGGGTTTAGGGTTTAGGGTTTAGGGTTTAGGGTTTAGGGTTTAGGGTGTGGGGTTGATTGTTTAAGGGCCCCTTAATGGGGTGATCCCCCAAGGAATGTTCCTTTTTCTGTTCTTGTTCTTGTGCTCTCATGTCATTTCCTACTCCCTGCTTCTTATCGCTACTCATGGTCTTACTCTTCTGCTGTTTCCTGCTCCCTGATTCTATCCCTAAACCCTAAACCCCAAAACCCTAAACCCTAAACCCTAAACCTTTGAAGATGGGACCTACCTCCAGCTCCCACGCGAGCTTCGGCTGCAAGGCCTGGGTTTTGCTGCCAAAGTGTAAATTACACTTTGGGAGCTCCAAATCCCAAGTAAGTTGGGGTTTTGGGTTTAGGGCTTAGGGTTTAGGGTTTAGGGTTTAGGGTTTAGGGTTTAGGGCTTAGGGCTTAGGGTTTAGGGTTTAGGGCACCCGAAGCCCCAGGCCTGCAGCAAGTCCAGACCTGCCAATCCGTGGGCTACCTGAGGGTTTCCGACTAGGGTTGAGGGTTTGGGGTTTAGGGTTTAGGGCTTAGGGCTTAGGGCTTAGGGCTTAGGGCTTAGGGCTTAGGGCTTAGGGTTTAGGGTTTGGATGTCTTTGGGGGTTTGTATGCAGTCTTCTGCCGGGGGGCGGTATATTAAGACCCCCCGTTCTGGGAAACGCCCGCCTGCTTCATGGAGGCTTCCCCACACGTCCTCGGTGCAGAAGACACAAAGCTCACAGTGCTCAGACTGCAACTTCGGACAGGATTCTATACCTGATGGGCCTTTGGGGTACCCTATATAGCCTAGCACATAAAGAAATACATGAATGAGTAAATAAAAATACAACAAGGCTCCGTATGTTAGTAGCATCCCCCAAAGAGAGCTCTCACTTAGAGAGCCTCCCAGGTAGCAGGCTGAGGGACCAAGATGTGCTCCCTAAAGGCTCGACACACTTCCCAACCAGGTCTGCCTGTAAGGATAGCCCCAACAGAGGATACTCTAAACCCTAAACCCTAAACCCTAAACCCTAAACCCTATAAACCCTAAACCCAACTTCGAAGCCTTCGTGCAACTTCCCGGCAAGTAAACCCTTGGCCCTCAACCACAAGCCACCCCTGAAAGCTGAACTAAACCCTAAACCCTAAACCCTAAACCCTAAACCCTAAACCCTAAACCCTAAACCCTAAAACCCAAACCCTAACACGGGCTTTGACGTACTGAGCCTTACTAGTCCAGTGAATCCGGGCAAGGGTCTCGCCACCCCCTCCTGATTCATGCCATTGGTCTCCGTAGTAGTAGGCCCCGTTGTCCGTCCAGTAGGAAAGGTAGTTCACCTAGATCCACGAGTAACCTAGGAATAAGAAGGGTACCTTTTTTGGTTTTAAGCGGATACTAAGGGAACCCCAAACCCTAACAAAAGGAAATAAGGGGTCGACTCCGGGTCCGAGTCACAACAGGATCAAGGTCCATCAAAGGCCGGGTGGTCCCATAGGCGCGCCGCAGCAGGCCACCGAAGATATCCATGGCCCTCGCATGAGGTTTAGGGTTTAGGGTTTAGGGTTTAGGGCTTAGGGCTTAGGGCTTAGGGCTTAGGGCTTAGGGCTTAGGGCTTAGGGCTTAGGGCTTAGGGCTTAGGGCTTAGGGCTTAGGGCTTAGGGCTTAGGGTTTAGGATGTCCTTTTTTAGAAGGGTGAGGCATAATATCGGGGACCCAAAAAGAACCTATTGTAGAGAACTACCCACAGCTCCTGAACCGCCAGGGGGCTTACGGGGTCGAGCCCTTGTTGACCCTAAGCCCTTGTTGAACCTAAGCCCTAAACCCTAAACCCTAAACCAAACCCGTGGAACGGGAGTCCTGAAAGTCCAGAGAGTCCTATGAAAAGGCAATCCACTACTTCTGAGGGCGGCGCGGAACAAGACTGCTACCACTTCGTGTGTGGGCGTCACAACTCTTGAAGACATGGGCCAAGACGTGTTCATTCCCCAACCGAAATCAAACGCCTTAAACCCCCTAAGAATTCAGGGGCCCTGAACAGAAGAGGGGACTCGACCTAAACCCTAAACCCTAAACCCCAAACCCTAAACCCTAAACCCTAAACCCTAAACCCTAGACCCTACCCTGACTTCGCCTCGTGATGCCAGTGTCTGCGACCATCAGGGTGCGATGCTGGAAACCTTGTGGCAGGGCCATCACCTCGCTGGACACGCCCAGATCCCACGTGCTCCTGGCCCTGGGCTGGCTTCGGGTTTAGGGTTTAGGGTTTAGGGTTTAGGGTTTAGGGTTTAGGGTTTAGGGTTTAGGGTTTAGGGTTTAGGGTTTAGGATTTAGGGTTCAGGGCTTAGGGTTTAGGGCTTAAGGTTTTAAGGTCTTAAGGTTTAAGGTTTAAGGTTTAAGGCTTAGGGTATGGAAAAAAAAAAACCTACCAAGTACATGACCGTCGAACACCCGAACTAAATGAGAAAATAGACCCTAAACCCTAAGCCCTGAAACCTAAACACCGTAAATGGTCACAATGTTCCCTGTGGGGGCCCACCAAGGGACACGTCATAGAAGTGCCTGCAGTGCAGCATCTGAACGGAAGGTTTGGTTAGGTCCCTAAACCCTAAACCCTAACCCTAAACCCTAAACCCTAAACCCTAAACCCCGAACCCTAAACCCTAAACCCTAAACCCTAAACCCTAAACCCTAAACCCTAAACCCTAAACCCTAAACCCTAAACCCTAAGCTTAGCCCTCAAAAGTGGCCTGTTGAGGGTTCAGGGTTTAGGGGATACAGGTTTGGGGTTTGGGGTTTAGGTTATCTAAGTTCTAAAGATATGTGTTAGTCCACACAACAAAAGTAGGACGACGGCAAAACGACGGAGGGACGACGGTGGGACGACGGAGGGACGATGGTGGGACGACGGAGGGACGAGGGCAAGACGAGGGAGGGACGACGGCAGGATGACGGGGGGACGACGGCAGGACGCCGGGGGGACGACGGGGGGACGACGGGGGGACGACGGGGGGACGACGGAGGGACGACGGGGGGACGACGGCTGTCGCGCCGTCGTCGAGCCGTCGTCGCGTCGTCGTCGCGCCGTCGTCGCGCCGTCGTCACGCCGTCATAAGGCCTAGTTTAAGCCCAAACTAGGCCTTATTTAGCCCAAACTAGGCCTTATTTCCCGTCATAAGGCCTAGTTTAAGCCCAAACTAGGCCTTATGACGGCGGGACGACGGCGGGACGACGGCGGGACGACGGCGGGACGACGGCGGGACGACGGCGGGACGACGGCGGGACGACGGCAGGACGACGGCGGGACGACGGCGCGACGACGGCGCGACGACGACGCGACGACGGCTCGACGACGGCGCGACAGCCGTCGTCCCCCCGTCATCACCCCGTCGTCGCGCCATCGCACCCTGTCGTCGCGCCGTCGTCACACCGTCGTCGCCCCGTCGCCACCCCGTCGTCGCGCCATCGTCATCCCATCGTCGCCCCGTCAAAGCCCTGACGTCTAGACCCCTCTAGCTGGACTAGAAACTATACCCCACATATCTCTAGAACTTAGATAAGGTTTAGGGTACAAGTGACCAGCTGGAGTAAGGGATACAGACCCAGATCTTCCAAAAACCCTTATTTCAGCAGTACACCCTAACTCATACCAAAGGATCATGCTTCTGAGTTAGGGCGTATTCCTTAATATACCCTTATGAATACTAAGGATCATGGCTATGAGTATATTCAATGGAAAACCCTCAACCCTAAACCCTAAACCCTAAACCCTAAACCCGAAACCCTAAACCCTAAACCCTAAACCCTTCAGGGGCTTTGGGAAGATCTGGGGAGTGAAGGCCCAGCTGCACCGAGTTCTTGAAGTTGTCCATGGGGGAGACGACCAGGGTGGCCCGGCTGCTGTCGAAGAGAGCTACAGGCCCTCAAGGGATGGGGGGGGGTGGTTTAGGGTTTAGGGTTTAGGGTTCAGGGTTTAGGGTTTAGGGTTTAGGGTTTAGGGTTTAGGGTTTAGGGTTTAGGGTTTAGGGTTCAGGGTCTACGGCTTAGGGTTTAGGGCTTTGGGTTTTAGGATTTGGGCAACAGGGCCCCTGCGAAGAAAAGAACACATGGCTTACATGGGGGGGGGGGGGGGGGGGGGGGGGGGGGGTTACATCGGGAGTAGGACACCACCAAAAACACCCTAAACTCTCCAAAAACAAACACCCGAAAAAAAAACTGAAAAAACACCCGAAAAAAAACACCCGAAACGTCCACCCTCAGTCCTGACGACAGGCCCTGCAGGTGCGAGGTGACATTCCGACCAAACACCGCCTTGGCCATGGAACCTCCCCAAAGCAGGAAGCCCAACGAGTCGAGCTGGGAAGACCGCAGCGCTGGGAAGTTCAAGATCGGAGGATACATGCCAGGATTCCTCTACTCCCCTTAGAACCTTAATACAAAAAAATGATATCTTTAATAGCCTCTTGGACTTTATATAAACAAAAATGCAAAAAAGAATTCCCAAAAAGGATATAGATTCAGCTCATGGCCATCCCTAGGCAGGGCTGGATTCGACGCGTTCGTGTCGCCAGCTCCCTGCGGAACCTCCTGAACGAAGACCGCGGCGCAGCTCTGGAGGTACGTCTTCAAGGAGGTGTGGAAGGAGATCCTATACTCGCCTTAGAACCTTAATTAAAAACGTTTTTTGTTTAATATCCTCCTGGGTTTTAGATGAACAAAAATAAGAAAAATATTTCCCAAGGGGGATAGAGGATCACCCGCGCTTGCTCCTGCACTTCCCAAGAAATGTTCATGCACTCGAAAGGCCCCAGGTTGTCTTCTCCTCTGTATCGTCGCAGCCGCTTTTGTTGCAGGGCGGCGGAGTGGTGCCAAGATCCATGTGCAAACAGACGCAGCGGTGCGCTTTCCAGCCAGGTGCTCCCCGCAACGCGAACGACGAAGGAGGCATCCTCCTGGAAGGGCACGCACTACCCTACTAATTGCTTAATAACCCCCTAAAAAGGGGTAATGTAGGGATCTTTTTTTATTCTTTTGGGGTTCTTAAGAACAAGCGTGCAAACTCTGCCATCGCTGCAAGCTCTTATTCGGGCGGTTTACGAAGATACGGAGCCCCTAAAGTAGATCCCTGTGTAGTCGGATTCCCTTATGCCTTGACATAAGCAGCCCAAGAAGGTACCCCCTACTTTCGGAAATCCCCATTCTGCTGGGCCTGCAAGGATATGTCGAGGTCACAGGGGGCCTCGCGTTGCAAGCCAGCGGGAAACACAACCTGAACCAGCAGGCAGACACAGCAGCAGCGTGCGGACGTCATCAGCAGGAGGCTTGAGACTTGAGGCTTAAGGCTTGAGGCTTGAGGCTTGAGGGTTGAGGGTTGAGGGTTGAGGGTTGAGGGTTGAGGCTTGAGGGTTTTGGGTTTAGGGCAAAGGCTGTGAGGTGCTTTTCACCGGGACAGCTACATCTCCACATCGCATCGTACCCCATGGTTCTGCAGGGTACTAGTACGAAGTTGACAGCTCGTGCCGATGTCCGGATTCAACCCTGGGCCCGAAACCCGAATATGCAAATGAAGATTGAGGTCGCCAACCGGGAGATTCAGGGATCAGTCACCAATGACGTGGGCGCGGGGTGTGCGGGGGGGACGGGAGGGGAGGAGGTTCCCAAAAAAGAAGCGCGCCCCGTAGGTCAGGGTCCTTTAATCAGGATTATCGTATTCTGAGTTATGTTCGGGAGAGCCTTTTTTTTTGAGTTGCCCGTAACCCTAAACCCCTAAACCCTAAACCCTGTACCGTAAACCCTAAATCCTAAACCCTAAACCCTAAACCCGAAACCCTAAACCCTAAACCCTAAACCAAAGTGCTGGCAAGAGGGACATGCACCCGTTGGATCTTTCTGTGCCCGTGGGGGATCCCGATTTAGGAGACCTAGGGCTTGAAGGGCTTGTAGGACTTCTGAGATTTAGGGTTTAGGGTTTAGGGTTTAGGGTTTAGGGTTTGGGGTTTGGGGTTTAGGGTTTAGGGTTTAGGGTTTAGGGTTTAGGGTTTAGGGTTTAGGGTTTAGGGTTTAGGGTTTGTGGCTTTAAGGTGAGAGGTCTCCCTTACACCCCCTAGACAACCCAAGGTCCCTGATTCAGAACCCCTTTAAAAGGGTAGGGGACCATATTCAGGGACCATGTAACTACCCTTAGAATTTCGGCCAAAGAACGCGTTGAGGACCTCGTGAACGCCAAAGCCGTTTGAACAAAAAGGGATCAAGCAGAGAGTTGGGAGGACCAAGTGGACCTACTAGAGATAAGCGCTCAACCAAACACAAGAAACGCCCAGAAACCCCAAAACCCCCTGAACTGCCCTTGTAAGCCCGAGAAGCCCTCTAAGCCCTATAACTAAACCCTGGCCCCGGCTCCCTCTTTTTTCTGGAGAGCTGGGGTCTGCGTCATCGAGACGCACCATGTGAACTCCCACGACTGAGGGCTAGGAGTTTGGGGTTTTTTTTGGTTTGTTAGGGGTTTTGGGAGTTTGGGTTTTTTTTGGTTTTTTAGGGTTTTGAGGGGGGTTTTGGGAGTTTGGGGTTTTGGGTGTTTTAGGGTTTTGGGGGTTTGGGAATTTTGGGTTTTTGGGGTTTTTAGGGTTTTGGGGGTTTGGGAATTTTGGGATTTTGGGGTTTTTAGGGTTTGGGAGCTTGGGAATTTCGGGCTTTTGGGGGTGTTTGGGGGTTTGGGGTTCTGGGGTTTCGGGCTCGATTTCGGATATAACAATGTAGGGTTGAGGGTTTGGGGGGGGTTCGGCTATGGGGTTGGCAAGTCTTTTGGCCCCGCTCCCTAAACCCTAAACCCTATAGCATCCCCTATGCCTAAACTCTAAAAACCCTACACCCCTAAACCCTACAACCCCTAAGCCGCTAAACCCCTCAACTCTACACCCCTAAACCCCTAAACCCCCAGAACCCCTAAGCCTTAGGCAGTCCATGGGATGATCTTCCGTTTCTGGACGAGCTCCCCGCGAAGGTCCGGCGTGCCTGAGGACAAGAAGATTTGGGCTGAGGTCAGAGGCATTGGCACCATTTAGGGCCTTAGGGTTTAGGGTGTAGAGTTTAGGGCTTCTAGGGAAAAACGGGGGGCTTGTGGCCTAGACCCTAGACCCTAAACCCTAAACCCTACACCCTAAACCCCAAACCCTAAAATTTGGAACCTCGCGTTCCGAAGGAGATTTTTAGGATCTTGCACAGGCACCGGGAGCCAGGTATAACTGCACTTATAACCCACCTATGAGCCACTTGAGTGCCCGAATAAGGTCATAGTTGGGTTGTAAGTACAATTATAATTGGGTTGATAAGTACTATGAACCTCCAAGTAGGTTGAGCTGAAGGCCTGCGAACTGGGGAAGTTGGGAAATGTGAGAGCCTGTTCAGGGTTGAGGGTTTACGTCGAGGGTTTAGGGGTTCAGGGTTTAGGGGTTTAGGGTTTAGGGTTGAGGGTTTAGGGTTTAGGGTTTAGGTTTAGGCTTTAGGGCCCGAAGCCCGAAGCCCTCAACACTCCTCAACCCCAACCCTGGGCACCTCACCCCTTTCTAGGAATTCCCCCCGCAAGCCTCGGACCTCTAAGGTTGTACCCTTGGGTTTCGGGACGCTTTTTGAAGATTCTGCCCAGGGGAATATAAAGGGCCGTATTCGGAGTGCATGAAGGGAAGGCTTTAGGGGCACCCTAAACCCTAAACCCTAAACCCCAAAATCCCTAAACCCCAAAATCCCTAAACCCTAAACCCTAAACCCTAAACCCTAAACCCTAAACCCTGAACCCCAAAATCCCCTGATGGCAACCCGTGGTGGCATCCGCGCCTTCGCGGGCCAGCCACACCTTACTTGGAGGTTCATGGTACTTACTAACCAATTAGGGTTTAGGGTTTAGGGTTTAGGGTTTAGGGTTTAGGGTTTAGGGTTTAGGGTTTAGGGTTTAGGGTTTAGGGTTTAGGGTTTAGGGTTTAGGGTTTAGGGTCTAGGGTTTAGGGTTTAGGGTTGAGAACTGTACGTATAACTGTACTTATAAGCCCCTGAAGCGCCCTAATATGGCTCTAAGTACAGTTATGAGTACAGATAACACTGGCTAATAAGTACCATGAACCTCCAAGTAATGGAGGGTGGAAGCAAACCGAACCTCTAAACCCGGCACTCTCAAAGCTTTCTTGGGCTTTGAAGTTGCCGGGCTCAGGGTTTACGGGTTTCGCAGTGTAGGGGGAGGTGCGGGGGGGTTAGGGGGTTTTAGGCGGTGGTTTAGGGAGCTCCTTGAGCCCTAAACCCTAAACTCTAAACCCAAACCCTAAACCCTTGTCAGAAACCTCGTACGCAGAGGATTATACTACAATAATCCCCCCGAAACCCTCTTCTAATTCTTCAATGGCCCCCTACTTTAGGGTTATCTGACTAGGTCCACAACTGATAGCAGATAGCAGATTCTACTATTTGCTTAAGAACCCCCAGAATATCGAAATAGTCTTCCTTATAAGGGCAATATAGGAATGATTATTCTTCTATTTTTGGGGGGTTCTTAAGCAGATAGCAGATTCAAGAAAACCCTGTCAGCTGTCTCTGCATTCTCCGCATGCTCGCCCGACACGAGAGTGTGTCATTTAGGGTTTAGGGTTTAGGGTTTAGGGTTTAGGGCTTAGAGCTTAGGGTTTAGGGTCTAGGGTTTAGGGTCATATAAGTGCTGGAGAAGCGCTGTGGGCTGCAGTTCCAGCAAGCAACGACGGATACTGAAGGGCTTGGAGAAAATCTACGTTGCTTCGATCCATGCGTGCGCTATAGGAATGTATGAGGATGTTCCCAGGGACTCCAATACCCCTGAATTAAGGAATATTCCTTTACATATAGTTTGGTTCCTTGAATGGTTTAAGGAATATTCCTTAATTAAGGGTTCAAGGAGTATTCGAGTCTCTGATTTCCCCCTTCTTCTAACAGTCCTAAGAGGGACTATGAAAGGGGATACTAGATTCCCTATTGAGGACCGTTAGTACAAGGGGGAACATCCACAATGAACGTATGGAATCCATACCCAGCCAGGCACCCCAGGTACTGAACAAGCAAGTCCAAAAGGCTGAGGTCCAAAGCGCAAGCGTGCCGCCCGCTGAAAGCTAACCCTAGACCCCAAAACTCCCTAAGCCCTCAACTCCCCAAAACCTGAGCACTCAAGACCCAACCCTCGCCTCTAAACCTTGTTGGACACATGCGTTTACAAAACACAAAGAACAAAAGCGCACGTGCGCACACACACACACACGCACAAAAAAAAAAACACCAAAACACAAAAAAAAAACACCAAGAGACACACGCACACAAAAGGTTTACTATGAAAACCGAAGAAATAAGCAAATTAAATTACGAACGCAGCAAGGGGTTCTGCGATTCCCGGGCCCAGGTGCCACATCTTGAGCCGCTTCGGCCGGGCTCTGAGCGTGGGACCTCAGGTTGCTTCTGTTCTGTTTTGGGTTTGGGGTTTAGGGTTTAGGGTTTAGGGTTTAGGGTTTAGGGTTTAGGGTTTAGGGTTTAGGGTTTAGGGTTTAGGGTTTAGGGTTTAGGGTTCAGGGTTTAGGGTTTAGGGCCTTTAGGGTTTAGGCTTCAGGGTTCAGGGTTTAGGGTTTATATAGGGTTTAGGGTTTAGGGTTTAGGGGTTTGAGGCTCTTGAGGGTCTAGGGTTCATGTTTGAGGGTTTCGGGGTTTAGGGCGTAGGGTTTGAGGCTTAAGCTTAAGGCTTCGGGCTCAAGGTTTAAGATTTGGGCCCTAGCAAGGGCCTTGATGTTTGTTCCATGTGCATCCGCCGAGTATCATCTACATGCACATGTGTGTATATATATACACACACATACAAACGTTCGCACGTGTGTGCCTGCAAGCGTGCTTGCAAGCATGCGCGCGTGCGTGCATGCGTGCGTACGTGCGTGTGCCTGTGCGTGTGCGCGCGCGTGTACGTGTGCCTGTGCCTGTGCGTGTGCCTGTCCGTGAATGCATGCGCACGCGTGTGCGCGTGCGCGCGTGCGCGCGTGCGCGCGTGCGCGCGTGCGCGCGTGCGCGCGTGCGCCTGTGTTCAACGCCATGTACGTAGTGTATAGTGATGTGATAAACCCTGTTTTGTACAACTAAGGCTGTGTAATTTTTGTGAATCATGTATGCTTGATTGTCTTTGTTCTTATTATCTTTCCAAAAGAACTCTCCTCATTTATACTTCTGTATTTTCCTATATTCTTGACCTATGTATACCTAGCTGTCCTATTCTTACTACCCGATAAAATCCAAAAGGCCGTGAAACCCTGAAACCCCTAAACCCGAAACCCTAAACCCTAAACCCTGAAACCCTAAACCCCTAAACCCTAAACCCTAAACCCTAAACCCCTCAATAAACCCCTACACACCTAAACCCCTGAACCCTAAACCCTAAACCCCTAAACCCTAAACCCTAAACCCTAAACCCCTAAACCCTAAACCCTAAACCCTTAAGGCCCGCACATGTCCTTGAACCACGGCCGCGATGCCGCGGTGTCGACCAGCCCAGGACAGCATCCGCCGACGAAGAGGCCCGCGTCCGCCTCGCAGCGCAGAGGGGGTAGGGTTTAGGGTTTAGGGTTTAGGGTTTTGGGTTTAGGGTTTAGGGTCTAAGGTCTAGGGTTGAGGGTTGAGGGTTGAGGGTTGAGGGTTTGAGGGTTGAGGGTTGAGGGTTGAGGGTTGAGGGTGGAGGGTTTTGGGTTGAGAGTTGAGGAATGAGGACTGAGGGTTGGGGGTTGAGAGTGGAGAGTTGAGGGTTGAGGGTTGAGGGTTGAGGGTTGAGGGTTGAGGGCCGATTTAGGGTTTAGGGTTAAGGTTCAGGGTTACGGGTTTGAGGGTTCAGGGTTTAGGGTTTAGGGCTTAGGGTTTAGGGTTTAGGGTTTAGGGTTTAGGGTTTAGGGTTTAGGGTTTAGGGCTTAGGGTACCACATCATACTCCCACCAGTTAAAAAAAGTAGGTGGACGAGGAGCAACAATGGATTGGGATGCCGGTTGCAGGCTCAAGGTTCCATCAGGGCGAGAGGGTTTATGGTTTAGGGTTTAGGGTTTAGGGTTTAGGGTTTAGGGTTTAGGGTTTAGGGTTTAGGGCTTTGCTTCTCCTTGGGCAGATGGATTGCTTACCCAAACTTTAGGCTGCAGGAAGGGAGGGATCCGACCCTAACCCCTAAACCTTCAACCCTAGACCCTAAACCGACAACCTAGACACGTGGGTTGCTTACCCAAAACCCTAAACCCTAAACCCTGAACCCTAAACCCTAAACCCTAAACCCTAAACCCTAAACCCTAAACCCTGAACACCAACCCTAAACCCTAAACCGACAACCTAGACACATGGGTTGCTTACCCAAACCCTAAACCCTAAACCCTGAACACCAATGTGGGCTTTAGGGCGCAGTGCAGCGTTTGGGACTGCGGGGTTCCCAGACAGGGGTTTAGGGTCTAGGGTTTAGGGTTTAGGGTCTGGGGTTGGGTTTGGGGTAAGGGGTTTGGGGTTTTGGGGTTTAGGGTTGATGTTTTGGGGTTTGGGGTTTGAGGTGAGCTTTTGGGGATTGGGGTTTGGGGGTTTGGGTTTGAGGGGTTGGGGGTCGGGGTTTGGGGTCTGCGGTCTGGGGTCTGGGGTTTGGGGTTTGGGGATTGGGGATTGGGGCTTGGGGCTTGAGGATTGGGGTGTTCCGGGTTCAGGGTTGAATACCGTGCTAAGAGCTGGAAAGCAAACTCCCTGAACCCTAAACCCTCAACCCTAAACCCTAAACCCCACCCGACCCCTAGACCTGAAACCTAAAACCAGAAACCACGCAAGGAGCCGTCGCCGCGGCCACCTTGACGGCAGCCACCTGCCCAACCTGGGGACACGGAGGTCTTCTGGGCTTAGGGTTTAGGGTTTAGGGCAGTTTAGGGTTTAGGGTTTAGGGTTTGGGGTTTGGGGTTTAGGGTTTAGGGTTTCGGGTTTAGGGTTTCAGCATTCCTGGAATGGGGTTTGCAATTTAGCGTGCAGCAAATAGCTGGGTATGAGGGGGCTAGTCAGGGTTTGGTTGGAGCGCTTCGCATTGGCAGCTTTAAGTGGTTTAAGGGTGTTGGGGGGGAGTTTAAGGGCTCCACTTTACTTTCTGGCGGCTTGCTAGGGTTTAGGATCCTGGGGCTTCGGGCAGTTTGGCAAAGGTTTCGTGGAGGGCCCTGAACGGGTAAGGCAGAGATGTGAGGATTCGGAAGGCTAAAGCCGAAACCCTAAACCACTAAACCCCCCCAAATTCAAAACCCGAAACCCCCTAAACCCTAAACCCTAAACCCGAAACCCGAAACCCGAAACCCTGACTCGGTTTAGGGTTTAGGGTTTAGGGTTTAGGGTTTAGGGTTTAGGGTTCAGGGTTCAGGTTCAGGGTTCAGGGTTCAGGGTTCAGGGTTCAGGGTTCAGGGTTCAGGGTTCAGGGTTTAGAGGTTGGACCCAAAGCTACTCTCTCGCAACCTTCTACAGACTTGGGCCTTCGAAGGGATGTTGACCCAGTCAGGCCAGCCCTCCTGGAAGAGGATGCTGGGGTTTCGGGTTTAGGGCTTAGGGTTTAGGGTTTAGGTGTTTAGGGCGGTTTAGGGTTTAGGAGTTTAGGGTTCAAGGCTTAGGGCTTAGGGTTTAGGGTTTAGGGTTTAGGGTTTCGGGTTTAGGGTTTAGGGTTTAGGGTGTGGGGTTCAGGGTTCAGTTTAGGGTCTAGGGCGTTTAGGGCGTTCAAAGAGCGGGGATCCCAACGCACCAATTGAGGAATGCTCCCAGATTTAGTTCCTTGGTGGTTTAGGGCTTAGGGTTTAGGGTTTATATAGGGTTTAGGGTTTAGGGTTTAGGGTTTAGGGTTTAGGGTTTAGGGTTTAGGGTTTAGGGTTTAGGGTTTAGGGTTTAGGGTTTAGGGTTTAGGGCTTTGTGTCTAGGGGTGTAACGCAAGAGACAAGATTCCTCAATGAAGGGGGTCTTGGGCTCGCTCTGGGAACTACGGCCGGAGAGAACGCTTCGAAGTTTTATCCACCAGCTTCGCTTCAAGTTCTAAAAGCATCCTTCCTACGAGGAGCCCTATAATGAAAGGCATCGGTTTAGGGTCTAGGGTCTAGGGTTTAGGGTTTAGGGTTTAGGGTTTAGGGTTTAGGGTTTAGGGTTTAGGGTTTAGGGTTTAGGGTTTCAGACAGATTTACTCCGTGAGTTTGGGCATAGGGGCTTGGATGTCGAGCTTGCGAATCTTCTGCTGCTGGCCGATGGCCCTAAACCCTAAACCCTAAACCCTAAACCAATCGGTCCTCGGCAGCCTTGCCAGCTTCCACCGAGGCAGCGTACCTTCCAGCGCGGGGCGACCCCTTCTCCCCCCCCCCCTAAAACCCGAGAACCCTGGAACCCTAAAAGCTGTAAACCTCAAAAATCCCTAGACCATAAGTATCCTAAAGCCCTAAAACCCTAAAAACCCTAAAAACCCTAAACCCTGAAACCCTGAAAACCCTAAAAACTCCAACAACCCTGAGGCCTCGCACCCCAATTGAGAACGAATCCCCCCACGTGCCCCAAAGCCTCTGAAAAAGGAGATACTGAATATATATATATATATATATATATATACGACCCCTAAACCTAAACCCCAAAGCCCAAACCCTAAACCGTAAACCTCCGGACCAGCCCCAGATCCCTCAACACCAAAGGCCTGGGTCCTAAAATCTGCAACCTTGAGTTTAGGGTTTAGGGTTTAGGGTTTAGGGTTTAGGGTTTAGGGTTTAGGGTTTAGGGTTTAGGGCTTAGGGCTTAGGGCTTAGGGCTTAGGGCTTAGGGGTTCAGAGTCGAGGGCCCAACTGCTGCTGAGCCTCTCGAGGGACAGGCTCCACACGCGGGGTCCTCTGAAGCCCTCGTACGAAACCCTGCAACACAAAACCCTAAACCCTAAACCCTAAACCTCTGAAGCTCTAGAGCCCTTAAACCCTGGAGCCCTGAGAACCTAGAGGCCTTGAAGCAACACCCAGCCGTTTGAACTCTACATCCGGCGCCCTCAACAAATCCAGTGCTTGCAGCCTAGGTTCTCGAGCATCACCTTATCCAGGTCCTCGAGGGTCGATTTTTGCACATCGAACTTCGGATGAAGGGACCTCAGCCACGAATCAGGGCTCCGGAGATTGCGACTAGGGCTTGCAGAATCTCGGCTCTAGGGCTTTGGGAGTTTAGGGTTTAGGGTTTAGGAAGTTTAGGGTTTAGGGTTTTGGGGTTTAGGGTTTAGGGTTTTGGGTTTTAGGGTTTAGGGTGTGGCACGATGCCTCCCTTGTATCATCAGCTAGCAACAGGAGTTTGGGGTTTGGAGCCTGGGGGGGCGCCTGGGAGAGCCCTCCCCTAAACCCCAAAGCTACTAGTTGCTTAAGAAGACCCCAAAAAAATTGAAAAAAACGAACTTCCTTATCAGGGCAATATAGGGACTATTACTTCCACAGGGATTTTTACTTCCTTACAAGGGTAGTATAGGGACCACTACTTTTTATTCTTTTGGGGTTCTTAAGCAAATAGGAGAAAGTCCCTAAACCCTAAACCCTAAACCCCAAACCCTAAACCCTAAATCCTAAACCCTAAACCCCAAACCCTAAACCCTAAACCCTAAACCCCGAAGTCTTCTCATCTGCGCGGCTCTGGCAGCTTCGTGAGCGTGCCGAAGCTGCTGGCAATCACCAGGAGTCGGCCTGTGGGTTGAGCCACAGGCTTTTTATGGGTTTTAGGCTTTAGGGTTTAGGGTTTAGGGTTTAGGGATTTGGTGCTTTTGGGGGAATCACCGGCTTTTTGGAGGTGGGACAATAGGCGTTTGGGGTTTGGGGCTGTGGGTTTGAAGCTTTTTGCGGTTTGGGGGTTTGGGGTTTGGGGTTTAGGGTTTGGGGTTTTGGGGTTTTGGGGTTTTTAGGGTTTTGGGAGGGTCTAGGGTTCAGGGCTTGGGAAAAATGTGCTGTGGTGGGCTTAGTGCATTGACTTGCGAGTTGGGCTGGGGTCTGAGGCGAAACCCTAATCCAAAGACAAACAAACTTCGAACCCGCGAACCCCTAACCTCGAAAACCCTAGACCCCGACTCGGGCTTTGCTTGAAGGGACTCTTTGCCAGATCTGAAGACTTCCAACGGCGGATTCCGCCATGATCTGCGTGTTTATATATCGACGTGTGTGGAATGCAGTCTAAGCCGAAAGGCCTTGCTCATCATACATGCTGGGGTCCAGAATCAGATATCTGCTTCTCAAACATCCTGGAAATCAAGCTCACAGCAGCCTAAACCCTAAACCCTAAACCCTAAACCCTAAACCCTAAACCCTAAACCCTAAACCCTAAACCCTAAACCCTGGTCTTGGGTGGCCGTCTTGGTTGTTGCAGCACACGCTGGAGAGTTGCTTTCCGCCACGGCTAGACCCTGGAGTGACCCAGCAATAAAAAGTGCCCATTTTGGTTTAAAGGGGTTTAGAAGGGAACATAAACCCTAAAAAAATTGAACAAGGGCCTACTCTGGGGAGGGGATTAAGGGTTTAGGGTTTAGGGTTTAGGGTTTAGGGTTTAGGGCTAGGGTTTAGGGATTCAGAGACTCCGACCTCCAGGCCGCATCACTGGCAGGAAAGTCCGCAGCATCTCAGTGGTTCCCAGGTTGTTGGTGGTGACGAAGTCCTGCTTCGGACTTCGCGGAGAGGCTTCAGGCTTGCCCCCCTTGCGGGTTTAGGGTTTAGGGTTTAGGGTTTAGGGTTTAGGGTTTAGGGTTTAGGGTTTAGGGTTTAGGGTTTAGGGTTTAGGGTTTAGGGTTTAGGGGTTAGCGTGTAGCGTTTAGGGTTTAGGGCTCAGGGTTTGTGAGTTTCTGAATCCTCTTGTCCATAAAAGCTGGGGCGAGGGGGCTCTGCCCAGAAAAGAAACAAGAAAGGAACCGGTCCTAGCAGCTTGAGGCTCTTGATGCTTCATGGAAAGAACCCCCAACGCTGAGCCCTAAACCCGAAACCCCTAAACCCTGAACCCTAAACCCTAAACCCCGAAGCGCCAAAGACCCTAAATGTCCCGAACATACTCCGCCGGCGTCTTCTCTGGCGTCATCCGCGCAGCTGCATTGTGGATCACGAGATCGGCTCCGCCGTGGCGCTCCTCGCCGAAAGGAGGAACGTCTGCACACTTGTCTGTTCCCAGAAACCATAGGGTTTCTAAACCCTAGAACCCTAAAACCCTAAACCCTAACCCTAAACCCTAAAACGCTAAAGCCTCAAACCCCCCAGAAAAAAAAAAAAAAAAAAAAAAAAAAAAAAAAAAAAAAAAAAAAAAAAAAAAAAAAAAAAAAAAAAAAAAAAAAAAAAAAAACCTTGGGCCTTGATCATCTCCGCGCACTTTCGGACGCTTTCCGGGTCGGCGACGTCCACAAGTGCCAGCTCAGGCCGGAGGCCTTTCGCCTCGCTTGGCGGTTAGTGGGTAGGGTTTAGGATTTAGGGTGTCGGGTTTAGGGTTTAGGGTTTTGGGTTTAAGGTTTAGGGTTTAGGGTTTAGGGTTTAGGGTTTAGGGTTTAGGGTTTAGGGTTCAGGGTTCAGGGTTTAGGGTTTAGGGTTTAGGTTTCGGGTTCAAGGGTTCGGCAGGTTTAGGGTTTCAGGATTTCGTGGGCTGGGGGGCCGCTTTGGGCTTGGATGGTGCTTGGGCTTTAGGGCTTGGTTGCTGTTTAACCCCCAATAATAAAAGTTTAACTTTTAGCTCCCTTTATATGAAATGAGAGGAACCCGAAACTTATAAAGTGATAAAGTTGTAGTAAAGTCCCACCTAGAGGGGTCCAGGCTGTTGGAGACCACTAGCCATTACATGGCTAGCCATTCGATGGGGGCGAATGGGGCCCTGTTTGCGGGGCTCTTTTTTGCGTGTCCTGTTCCGGGGCAATAGTAGGGGAGTACACATGGCAAACTTCACATCTAAACCTAAACCCTAAACCCTAAACCCTACACCCTAAACCCTAAACCCTAAACCCTCTCAACCTCTGAATCTCCCTGAAACGCCTGGCAGAAGGCCAAAGCCCTGGTCAAATGCGAGGTTGGAAGACGCAGGTCAGCTTGCTTCGCCTTGCTAGGATGGCAATAAACCTCAAGCATAGACTCCCCCGAACTCGGAGGAGAAGCTGAAAGCAATGAAGCCTAAACCCGAAACCCTTCAGCCCTCAAACCCCTAAACCCTAGACCCTAAACCCTAAACCCTAAACCCTAAACCCTAAACCCCTAAACCCCTAAACCCTAAACCCTAAACCCTAAACCCCATCTCAACCCGAGAAACCACGCCTTCAGCTCCTCGACCGCTGCCTCGCCCCGCTCCTTGCTCCGGGCCCCCAGATACCTCGACGCCCCGACGAGAAGGGTGTAGGGTTTAGGGTTTAGGGTTTAGGGTTTAGGGTTTGGGGTTTAGGGTTTAGGGTTTGGGGTTTGGGGTTTGAGTATTTGGGGGTTTGGGGGTTTCGGTGTTAAGGGATACCTCGCTGGCCCGACGAGATGTTTAAGGTTTTTTGGGCTGAGGGCTTGGGTTGGAGAGTTTTGGGGTTTAAGGCAACTTTAAACTATTTAAGGGATTCGGGAACTTGGGGGCTTTATGTAGCAATTAGGGGTTTAGGGGTTAAGGGTGTTAGGGGTTCAGGGTTCAGAGGGTTTAGGGTTGCGAGGGTTTGGGGTTTAGATGGTCTTGGTTGTCAGCGTGAACCTAACCCTCTGCCCTAAACTTGTTTACAACCTTTCTGGCAGTCTAGCAGGCGCCTAGGAGTTCTTGCAGAACTATGTTGTGGAAGATAAGAGCACTTGCGTGGAGGTCGTACTCCCTGAGCCCTACATCCGTAAATCCTAAACTTACTTCTTGTGCCCAAAACCCTAAACCTTAAACCCGAAACCCTTCAGGGTTCAGGGTTTAGGCCTTCGGGCTCTTAGAGTGGGGCGTTGCTGTGGAGTTCGATACCTGACCGGCCAGCTTGCAGAGTTTGGGGTTTAGGGTTTGGGGTATAGGGTTTAGGGTTTAGGGTTCAGGGTTCAGGGTCTCTTCAAACTTTCCCCAGTGCTCCCGCGCCTCGGAGTTGTGAGCCCGAATTGACCATTTGGGTTCAGGGTTTCGGGTTTAGGGCTGAGGGTCGACACCGTCGCTCAAAGCCGCCGGCTGTAGGATCTGGGATTCAGTAGGTTTAGGGTTTCGGGCCTACATGGGGGTTTCCGAAATTAGGGGTACCTTCTTGGATCCTACTATTTGGGGGGCTATAGTAGGGGTCCCCTATTTTCTTAAATCCCCCACATTGTCGGGCTTCCAAACTGCTAGCCGAGGCACACTTGAGCTCCTGGCCCACAGGAGGAGCATAGGGCCTCTGAACATGCGAGAGGATCTGTGTGCATGTATGTATGTATGTATGCATGCATGTATGTATGCATATATATATATATATATATATATATATGAATGATGTGTACCTATATGTCTATATGTACAGATAGATGTCTACAGAAACACATAGATATGTGTATGTACATATATGTGTGTGTATAGAGATAGACCTCGCTTTGCCTCTCTTACCTCTTAGCCTTCGCAACCTGGAGTCTGGGTGGGCGCCATGCCCGTTCAGGGCTGAGGCCTTGCGGGTAGCAACTCTCCTGGGCTCCGAAGCGGAAATCCCGCTGAACACTAACCCTGAACCGACAGGCTGTTTGGGCTCTAGGTAGGGATTTGCGGGTTTGGACCCTGACTTTGCGGTTGGGCTGAGGAGATCGGGGTCACGGTTAGAGGCACGGGAGAAAACTAGGTTCAGGGCTTATGATTTGAGGACACAAGCTCAAGACTGTTTGGCTGTTGTGGGTTTAGGAGGGCTGGCGTTGGGAATGTGAGGGTTTAGGGGCTTCCGCGCTTGCTTGGGCTTAGGGGTCTAGGGATTTAGGGTTGAGGATTAGGGTTTAGGGTTTAGGGTTTGGGGCTTAGGGTTTAGGGTTTAGGGTTTAGGGTTTAGGGTTTAGGGTTTAGGGTTTAGGGTTGAGGGTTTAGGGTTTAGGGTTTAGGGTTTAGGGTTTAGGGTTGAGGGTTTAGGGTTGAGGGTTTAGGGTTTAGGGTTTAGGGCTCCGGGGCTTTAGGAACACGAGGGCCGCAGGCGGGCTTCAGGGGGCTCCCACGCCTCGACGAGCGCGAGGCCTAGCCCCTGGCCAAAAGGGATTTAAGGGCTCAGGGTTTGGGGTTTTGGGGTCAGGGTTTGGGGTTTAGGGTTTAGGGTTTCGGGTTTTGGGGTTTAGGGTTTCGGGTTTTGGGGTTTAGGGTTTCGGGTTTTGGGGTTTAGGGTTGCGGGTTTCGGGTTTAGGGTTGAGGGCTCAGGGTTGGGATCCTTGGGGTTTTGGGGTTTGGGGGTTTGAGGTTTAGGGTTTAGGGGTTTAGGGTTGAGGGCTTAAGGTTTGGGCACATACGCTCGTCCGTGCGACAGCGAGAAAGGCACCTCCTGGTGTCATTAGGGTTTAGGGTTTGGGGTTTTGGGTTTAGGGTTTAGGGTTTAGGGTTGAGGGTCTGGGGTTCAGGATTTGAGGGTTTCGGGTTTTGGGGTTTTATGGCTTGAGGGTTCAGGGTTTTCGGGTTCAGGGCTCTAGGGCTGAAGCTTTGGGGCTCTAGGGCTGAGGCTTTGGGGCTTAGGGCTTAATGTCTCCCACTCGGAGCTCCACGAGTTGTTGAAGCGTCTGCTATAGGGTTATAGGGTTTTGCAGGGAGGGGGGTTCAAGGGGGGCTATGTCACCCAACGTTCCCTAACTCCCCACTACTCCCTAAAGCTCCCTAAGCTTCCCTAAGGTTACCTAGGTACCTTCACCCATGGTTCCCCCTCCCTTAAGAACCCTATCAGACTATAAGCCTGGTTGGCACCGGTCACCAGCATCACGGGGGAAGGGTCTGCCATGATTCGCGCCGGTGCAAGACGCAAGAGAGCCACAACCCAGGTCTTCGGGAAGACCAGGCTTAGCCTTTAGGGTTTGAGGGTTTAGGGTTTAGGGCTTGAGGGGGTAGGCCTTAGGGCTTCAGGCTCTCAACCCAGGATTTATATACCTGCGCTGGCGTCGCAGGGTTTCCCGAGCTACGGAATAGGGCTTATGAGGCTTCCGGAAAAAACAACGTTCTTTCGAAGCCCTGTATGGCTCGAGGTATGTTCCTGAACTCTGGCGTGCTGAACTCTAGTGCGTTCAGATGCGTTTGAGCATGCTTGAGCCTTTCTTGAGCCCATGCTATTCACAAGTCGTTTAGGGTTTAGGGTTTAGGGTTCAGGGTTTAGGGTTTAGGGTTTAGGGTTTAGGGTTTAGGGATCAGGGCTGAGGGATCAGGGTTTAGGGATTAGGGTTCAGGATTTAGGGCTTGGGGTTTCGGGGTTAGGGCTTAGGGTTCTGCTACTCACCCAGCCATACGTGCGCCAGGCCCACGTCCGTCATCCCGAAGCTCTTAACCCAAGCCAAAGCTGCGATCTGCGGACATTAAGGGACCCCTAAGATATGCCCCCCAAAGAGTGGGATCCCCTTTTCGTGAGGACTCTAGAAATGTACCCCGAATATCCTGAAACCCCATCTGCCTTTTTGCTCACATCATCGGCAAGCAAAGGCACATCCCGGAAAGAGAGAGACTGGTCATTGGCGATTGAAAAAGGCGCAGTGCAATTTAGCTGGGCATGCAGCTACATTTGCGCGCCAAATGCGCGCAACTTACAGAGTTCTTGGCTCAAGCGCCGTTGTGCTTGAGCCGTGTGTTTAATTGCTGCATGTACACAGCACCCTGCTGCGGCCTTCACATAGAAGCCATATGGCGCACTCACCGAAAAGTGCAAGGAAGAGGGCATCGCCACCCTCTAGTCGTCACAGACCTGTGTGCGTAGAAGAATTTGCACCCTCAACCCTAAACCTTAAACCCAAAAAACCCTAAACCCATAAATCCGAAACCCTAAACCCTAAACTATCGCCTCAGCAGGGCCCTCGTAGAGTGGATGGAGCGAAATCGCACTGCTAAGGGCTGAGGCTTGAACTACTAAACCCCAAAGCCTGAAGACTCTGGCAACACATGCTCGGTGTATGAAAGGCACCCCACCAGCATCACCCTGAACCAAAAGCACGGTGGACAAGAGCGACATCATCATCATCATCATCATCATCATCATCATCATCAACATCATCGTCATCATCGTCATCTTCGTCATCATCATCATCATCATCATCCTCACCATCATCATCATCATCACCATCATCATCATACTATGATCACATTTACAGTACGTATAGAAATAGCAACACTAAGAAGAGTATCCAGGAACTCTTACTAATATTTTTGAAGTAGCACTTGCAATCAAAAACTATACAGCGAGCAATCACACTGGTAACAGTAATAGTCATAAAAATAGAAATAGCACCAGTAATCGTGATCGTAGAATATTCACAACAGGAATATTAACAGAAATGATAGTGGAAAGCGCAATAGCAACGGAAGCAGCAATTGACTCAATAGCAATCGTAACGGTAAATATGATCGGAAGAATAAGAACAAGGACGACGAGAGCTTGGCGTGTCGCACGATCCGATGTCCAAGGGGTGAATCAAGCAAAACAACCGCAATCTGAATTGGGGAAGAACACTGAGGATGACAACCTCCCTTAGCCCTGTACTACGGAGGTCTGAAGACCCCCCACAACCCTTCGGTGCGGTGTCATGAAGCCCCAAAGCAGCAACCTTTTGCTAGTGTTGTTCAGGGTTTAGGGTATGGGGTTTAGGGTTTAGGGTTTGGGGTTTAGGGTTTAGGGTTTAGGGTTTAGGGACTTTAGGACATTAAGGTTCCAGGCTGCCTGCCGAACACAAAGAGCACACAAACCAGCTGGCTTAACTTGCCATCCAGGCGACTGCACCCAGCTTGAACTCACCTGGGGGGGTTTCTGAAGATAGGGGTTTAGGGTTTCGGGTTTAGGGTTTAGGGTTTCGGGTGCCTTTTTGGGAGGTTCCCATGATAAGGACTAAATATCTGGGGGGCACGTTTGGGAATACCCCCTACTTTGAAAAATGTTGTGGGCGGAGCGGGTAACGGGCTGAGGGCTTAAGAACTTCAGCGTTCAGGATATTGCAGCATGGAGTTTAATTTGGGTTTAGGTATAGGGTTTACGATTCAGGGTCGACATCTTCGGCAAGCATAGCTTCAGGGTTTCAGGGATCTTGGCAGAAACCCCTACTGGCCCAAAATACAAACAACCAGCACCCTAGACACATCCATGGGGCTTCAAGAGAACACCCTAGAACCAAACCCCAACCCCTAAACCCTAAACCCAAAACCCTAAACCCTACAAGTTCCCAAGCTCTCAATGCTCTGTGGCCTCAACCCCCGCGACTTGGCACAACGACCCAGGGGGAAACCGGAGACATGCTGTGAGACATGGGGGTTGACAGAAGTTATGGGCCAGCCTGGGTTTAGGGTTTAGGGTTTAGGGTTGAGGGTTGAGGGTTTGGGGTTTAGGGTTTAGGGTTTAGGGTGTAGGGCTTAGGACATGATCTAAGAAATATTCAACATACCCCTCGGGGCAATGGGTTTGGAGTATGTTGCATGTACAAGTTATGTGCCCTTCCGGGTACCCTAATTGGAGGTTCATGCCCCCTAAGTCCCCCAAGTAGGCTACAAGTAGACTTATCATTGGGGTTAGAAGCACCCATAAACCTCCAAGCAGACGACAAAGACTACTTGAGGCCTCTAAACCCTCGACCCTAAACTCTGAACCCTAAACCCTAAACCCGAAACCCTGAACCCTGAACCCTCAAAAGCGACACCCCCAAGTCAGAACCGACTCCCGGTCAGTGTGTCGAGCCTGAGTCGGAGTCCTGCAGTTCACAAGAAGGGGATGCGGGCAGGGTTTAGGGTTTGGGGTTTGGGGTTTGGGGTTTTGGGGTTTAGGGTTTAGGATTTAGGGTTTGGGACCGTTTGGGGTTTAGGGTTTAGGGCTTAGAGGGTTTAGGGTTTAGGGTTCAAGTCTCAGGGCTCAGGGCTCGAGATGCTTGTAGGTGCATGGCCAGACACTCGATACTAAACGCCAACCCGCAGCCGTTTAGCACCTCAACGCTTTTATGTTAAGTCGAAAGGGTTCAGGTTTAGGGTTTAGGGTTTAGGGCTTAGGGCTTAGGGCTTAGGGCTTAGGGCTTAGGGCTTAGGGCTTAGGGCTTAGGGCTTAGGGCTTAGGGCTTAGGGCTTAGGGCTTAGGGCTTAGGGCTTAGGGCTTAGGGCTTAGGGCTTAGGGCTTAGTCTACCAATTAGGGCCAGACCCTCAGCCCTACTCGAATGAAAGGGCTTCGGGGCTTTGGGGGCTTCGGCGCTGGTTGAGGGCAGCCCCCTTTGGAAATCCGAGCGGCCATCAACCTTCTCAGGGTCCAGGGCTCTGGGTTGAGGTTTGAAGGGTTCGGGATGAGGGCTGAACACGTAGCCCCGACATCAGCAAATCAATCTCCATTTTGTTGAATAGGCATAAAAATCCCAAAGCAACAGAGAGGGGTCCCCTGACCTCGATCCAAAAGAGGTCCCTCCAAATACTCCCCATCACATTCGTGCAGATACTTGGAGGTTCATGGTACTTGTTAACCCAACTATAACTGTACTTATAACTGTACCTATAGCCATATTAGGGCACCAAGTAGCCCTAAACCCTAAACCCTGAACCCTAAACCCTAAACCCAAAAACGCCCCCAAGGCGGGAGGAGGGGAGAACCCTGGGAGCCCAGAGGGAAGATTTGACCTAAGCCTCCAAAACCTAAGATCCGCGGAGCCCTAAACCCTAAACCCTAAACCCTAAACCCTAAACCCTAGGATCCCTAAACCCTAGACCCGAAGTTCGCACGTCTTTGAGAAATCTATGGACCCTTGAGTTCCCTCCTCCGAGTCGTCCATCTCCGAGTCCTGCCGAACACAGGGGCTTCAAGGGTTGAGGGTTTAGGGTTTGGGGTTTAGGGTTTGGGGTTTAATTAGGGTTTAGGGTTTGGGGTTTAGGGTTTTGGGATTGAGGTTTGCGGTTTAGGCTTTTGAGATTATGGTCTGGGTTGCCCTCATCGGGAATCATGCCCTCCATCCCGGAGCCCGAAGCCCTAAACGCCAACCTGGCGACAGGTTTGGGAGGCGTCTGAACCTCTAAGCCCTAGTCCCCTTTATCCTCAACCCTTCAACCCTAAACCCTACCCCTAAACCCTAAACCCCAAACCCTTGCATCGTCAACCCTATAAACTCTAGACCCTAAGTCCTAAACCCAAACCGCAGGCCCTAAACGCTGAAAGAACCCAGAGGATGTTTTGTCCACGTGAAGTTGAGAGCTAAGAGCTTTAAGTCCTTGAGGGATCTTTCAGGGTTGTTTAGGGTGGAGGATTTAGGGTTTAGGGCTTAGGGCTTAGGGTTTAGGGCTTAGGGTTGAGGGTTTAGGGTGGGGGGTTTAGGAGTGAGGGTTGATAGCATCGGGTTACCATGAAGCAGGAGGCACGGGGGGAGAGACGACGCAGCGGAAGGCCTCCATCTTTCCGAAATGGGTTGCATTGATGTCCACCGTCAAGCGGGTTTCGACCTCTGTGGGCCCGGGTTGAGGAACTTCGCAATTCGGTTAGAAGTAGGGTTTAGGCTTAAGTTTAGGGTTTAGGGCTTCGGGTTTAGAGTTTAGGGCTTGGGCTTAGGGTTTAGGGCTTAGCAATACCCCAAGCTGGGGATATCTTAAGCACAATTTGATCCTTAAACCTTAAACCTTAAACCCTAAACCCTAAACCCTAAATCCTAAACCCTAAACCCTAAACCCTAAGCCCTAAACTTACTGATCAGGGCTTTGGGGGCTTTTGGACTGAGGTGCTGGCTTGGAGACTCCTGGGTTGTTGTTTAAGGGTTCTTGCTTTGTGGATTAGGCTTTCGCGGATTCCGGCTATCTGTTGGCCAGGCTGGCCTTTGTAAAGGGGCTTTTGGGTTGCTCCCGGGCACTGGTTATGCGAGTCTTGCCGACTTAGAGGTACGGACTTTCAGCAAGAACCCTCCAAGGTGGTGCAGATGCTTGGGCAGTGGGACACAAACGAAAGCCACAGCTCAAAACAAGACTGCATCGCTTCGCACGAAGTCCCCGGCAGGAGGAGCTTCTGGCAGGAACACCACGGTGAGCATCAGCAGGATAAACCTTAGAAAGAACTTGGGGAAAAACCCGTCTTGCTTGGCCCGAAACTCCTCAACCCCATCCCACGAAACCAAAATCCGGCAAGCTCAAGGTTGAAGCTCGACGACTGTCTTATTGCTATGCTTCTATATGACTTTATTACTATTGTTAGTCTTATTCTTGCTGCTTATTCTGATTCTTCTGTTATTATTTGCATCTTTGTTCTTCTCGCTACGATTATTACTAGTGTTAGTATAGTGTTCTGGCTGCTATGCTGCAATATGTTATATTCGTAAATTGTTATCCTGGCATACTCCTATACTGTGATACTGCTACGTCTCTATGTTGTTATATTCTTGTGTTGGCATATCGCGTCACATTGTCATCTTGTTGAAATTTTTCTGTTGGCTAACAAAAAAGTTCTTTTGTTGTATTGCTATATTGTTGTATGCTGATATTGCTATCTTGCTATAAGGTTATACTGCTAAATTGCTCTCATATTATACTGCTATATTGCTGTATTGCTAGATATTCTTGTACTGCTATAGTGCTATATATTGTTGTGCTGCTATAGTGCTATAATGGTTATAGTGTTTTTTTAAAGTGGTTATCGTGGTTTATAATAATATATATATATATATATATACATCCATAATAATAATAACAATCATCATCATAATCATAATCATAATCATAATCATGATAATAATAATAATAATAAATATATATATATATATATACATCTATATATATACATGTACTGGCATACTGGTATGTTGGAGTTTCTAAATAAGCCCACAACGTAGATCCACAGGCTTCGGGCTTCATCAGGCCCCCCTAAGAGATGGCCAGGCGGATGCCGGACATCGCCCCCCCAACTAAACCCTAAACCCTAAACCCTAAACCCTAAACCCTAAACCCTAAACCCTAAACCCTAAACCCTTGAAGTCTGAAAGGACTGTGGAAATGCCCACGTCCCAAATGTCAGCGTGAGACCGAAGCCCTAAACCCTAAACCCTAAACCCTAAACCCTAAACCCTAAACCCTAAACCCTAAACCCTTGAAGTCTGAAAGGACTGTGGAAATGCCCACGTCCCAAATGTCAGCGTGAGACCGAAGCCCTAAACCCTAAACCCTAAACCTTCAACCCTGAACCCTAAACCCTAAACCCTAAACCCTACCGCTTCAGGCCACCGGAGCATGCCAAGGACCACCCCAAGAGCTGACCACCACGAGCATTCCAAGCGGGTTTGGGGTTTAGGGTTTAGGGTTTAGGGTTTCGGGTTCAGGGTTTAGGGCTTAGGGTTTAGGGTTTAGGGTTTAGGGTTTAGGGTTTAGGGTTTTAGGGTTTAGGGTTTAGGGTTTAGGGTTTAGGGTTTAGGGTTTAGGGTTTAGGGTTTAGGGTATCGGAGTGTCGCGCGGGCAAAGGAGGAGCAGCCACTTGGAAGACCGCGCAATGCAGATCCCCGAACCCATGCAGGAGCTTCCCAGACTGTTGGGAGCATCCAGAGTTCCAAAGTAGATCCACTTAAGGGTTTAGAGTTTAGGGCTGAGGGTTTAGGGTTTAGGGTTTAGGGTTCAGGGTTTAGGGTTTAGGGTTTAGGGTTTAGGGTTTAGGGTTTAGGGACCCAAGAGCAGTACAGGACACTATTTGGGTGGGTTCTACTTTTTGGATCCTTCCACAGGTCTGGGTTTAGGAGCGTCCATGTGTTGCGACAGCGTTTGGTGTTTGGGGAAGAATGCCCTAAACCCCCCTTGACCCTTAACCCTAAACACGAAACCCGAAACCCTAAACCCTAAAACCTTAACCCTAAACCCTAAACCCCAAACCCCATGAACCCTAAACCCTAAAACCTTAACCCTAAACCCTAAACCCCAAACGCCATGAACCCTAAACCCGAAATCCTAAAACCCTCAGTTCAGGCGCGGCGCCATCCATAGTCCAAGTAGGCGACGATGGGCCAAGGAACCGGGGGGTGAGGATGCTCGAATCCTGGAATCGGGTTTAGGGTTTAGGGTTTAGGGTTTAGGGTTTAGGGTTTAGGGTTTAGGGTTTAGGGTTTAGGGTTTAGGGTTTAGGGTTTAGGGTTTAGGGTTTAGGGTTTAGGGTTTAGGGTTTAGCTCAGGCAAAGAACCCCTAGAAAGGGACTCTGTTTATAGGCACCTGAAAAGGAACCCAGGGAGCATTGGGCTTAGGGTGTAGAGTTTGGGTTTACAGTTTGGGTTTAGGGGCTGTTTATAGGTTCAAGGGGGGGGGGACCTAAAACACCTTAAGGAAGCTTAGGGAGCCTTAGGGAGCCTTAGGGAGTAGTGATGAGCAGTGGGAAGTATTGGGGGACCTCGGGTTGCATACCTGGAAGTCAGCTTGCTGACTAGGGACCCCTAAACAAGGATTCTGTTTTAAAGGGGCCCTTCAGGGAGGGGCGTGGAAGCTTGGGGAGCCTTAGGGAGTAGTGGAGGATAGCCCCCTTTGAGCCTCCCTCCCTTAAGGACCCTGTAAACCATTTTGGAGAACTGACCACCTGGATGAAACCTCAGGGTTTTTGGAGTTTAGAGGGTTTTAGGGTAGGGTGGGTTGAAGGATTTAGGGTTTAGAGTTTAGGGTGTGTTCTAAGTTCAGGCCTCAAGGTGCATTCTGGGGGGGGGGGGGAGTGCTGGTATGGAGGTTGGTAAGGGATCATGGCGTTCGGCAATCCCCGGCTGTGAATGTAGTTGGGTTTCGGGGTTTAGGGTTTAGGATTTAGGGTTTAGTGTTTGGGGTTTAGGGTTTAGGGTTTGGGGGTTTTGGATTTAGGGTTCAAGGTTTCGGGGTTTGGGGGTTTTGGGTACTAACAAGAGCATCTCCTGAAGGAGATCTTGGAGACAAGAAAAGTTAAACAACCAAACAGGCTTAGGGGTTTAGGGTTTAGGGTTTAGTAGGGTGGTTTGGGGTTTAGGGTTTAGAGTTTAGGGTTTAGGGTTTAGGGTTTGGGGTTTAGGGCTTCTTCGGGCTTGTGGGTCTCGGACTTAGCACCCGGATGCTTCAGCAAGGTTTCGGATCGTAGGTATCTCCTCTGGCTTCAGATCCTTGCAGGCTGCCGTCTTCGGAAAGGTCAGTCGGGGATTCGAAAACGGAAAACGCGATTCGGGAAAAAGGAAACGCGGATAACGGCTTCTGGAAACCGCAAAACGGGATCAAAAACCAGGACTCTTGCTAAGGGACTCAGATTAAGTTAACATGATAGGGTTATATGGTCACTTCTCGATCCATGGTCCGTTTCGGGGTCCTTATTATAAAAAGGTACCAAAAACTGACCATATATGTATATGTGTGTAATATGGAAACCAGTACCCTGATCATGGTAGCTTAGTACAAGCTCCTTAGGAAAGAGACAGGAAACTACAGAACATCCCGGCTTGATTCTTCTGGCTGGTGCTTAGCAGGGAATGAGGGAATGAGGGCCCTATAGAATCCCCTCACGGGATATATACGGCCCTATAGAATCCCTTAAAGGGTATATATAGGGCCCTATGCGCTCATTCCCTCATTCCCTCCTAAGCACCAGGGGGGTCTTCGTGTCCCGGCTGAATTCTTCCCCCATCTCGTGAGCCCGACGATGAAGACGCAATTGGGTTGAGGGTTTAGGGTTTAGGGTTTAGGGTTTAGGGTTTAGGGTTTAGGGTTTAGGGCTTAGGGCTTCCGGGATTGGTTTAGGGTTTAGGGTCCTGACCTGAGCTTCAGAAATCCTAGGCCCCAGGCCCTATCTCCTCAACCCTAAACTGAGCTCGGGCACGGGGTAGAAGTTGAGAACGTCCACCACGCCGACGCATGGGAGGGCCAGCGTGTGAAACGTGAACATTCCGAACCAAATCTTTGTCGCACACCTGATTGGGGAAGGCTTTGGGGTTTCAACCCTAAACCCTAAACCCTGAACCCGAAACCCTAAACCCTAAACCCTAGACCTTAAACCCCAAACCCTAAACCCTAAACCCTAAACCCTAAACCGGGCTCGGTTCCGTTGGAAATAGAGGGCTCCATCTCCGCCCTCCCCTTCACTTACCCCACCCCAACTGTTTTGGTTAGAGGGAAGTCTAGGGTTTAGTGTTTAGGGTTTAGGGTTTAGGGTTTGGGGTTTAGGGTTTAGGGTTTAGGGTTTAGGGTTTAGGGTTTAGGGTTTAGGGTTTAGGGTTTAGGGTTTAGGGTTTAGGGTTTAGGGTTTAGGGTTTAGGGTAGTTTAGGGTTTTGGAGGGGTATAAGGAGGGCCCCCTAGAATATCTCCGGCTCCCCCCACTCATGGTGTGCCACCCCTACCATGGAAGCCCCCCCCCCCCCCCCGCATGGCATGGCATCCGCCCCCCCCCCCCCCCCCAAACCTCAAACCTCTCCCCGAAACCTTTAACCAACCTTCAACCTCCCTAAATCCTAAATCCTAAACCCTAAACCCTGAACCCTAAACCCTAAACCTAAACCGTAAACCTTCAACCCCAAACGCCAACGCCCCATTCACAGCACAGGCAGGGTAGTGTTAAACCTGAACCTGAAACCCTAAACCCCACTTCCCCAACCACACCCACACCACAAGGGGGGCGGGGGTAGCACGGGCGGCCGGTCTCTTCCCACGGGCCTGAACCTTAAGCCGTAAACCCCAACCCGAACCCTAAACCTTAAACAGGAAACCCTAACGCCCCAACCACACCCCCGGGGGGGGGGGGGGGGGCCTCAATCCAGCCCCCAACCACACCCACACCACAGGGCGGGCGATACTGGGGGGTGGGGGGGGGGGGGGGGGAAGGATGCCAGCCCAAGGCTATATACCCTAAGTGGCCCCCAAAAATAACCTCTAAAAATCCCCCCCCCCCCCCCCAAGGTCCCAATTAAGGGTCCCTCCTTCTTCAGTCCTTGAGGTCATGCCTTTCTGGGCTGAGAACACCCCAAGCGACGAGCACCAGCCCTGGGCTAAGGGCCGGAGGGTAGGGTTCTCAGATGAGCCCCAAACCCTTCAGAACCCGAAACCCCAAACCCTAACCCTCAACCCTAAACCCTAAACCTGAAACCCGAAACCCTAAACCCTAGCCCTAAACCCTAAACCCCAAAAAACTTGGACATTGTGGATCGCTGCCATCCGAGCGGCTCCAACTCCTGCGCCTCGAGGACGTTGCCCGCAATCATCGCCCACATGATGAACCTGAAAGCTGCTCCGTAGGGTTTAGGGCTTAGGGTGTTTAGGGTTTAGGGTTTAGGGTTTGGGGGGTTTAGGGTTTCGGGTTTAGGGGGTTTAGGGTTCAGGGTTCAGGGTTTAGGGTTTAGGGGGTTTGGGTTTTGGGTTTTGGGAGTAAGGGTGCACTGGGGGGGGGGTGGAGCGGGGGGAGGGGGGCGCGTTGTAGTAGGGCAAGTATGTAGGCCAAGACACAGTGTGGCCATGAAGAGGAACAGGTGGATCTGAGGCGAGCTTGCGAGAGCAGCCAATTCATGAGTCCGGGCAAGACCCCACCCTAAACCCTAAACCCTAAACCCAAAACCCAAAACCCAAAACCCAAAACCCTAAACCCTAAACCCTAAACCCAGCCACTACCAACACCTAACAACCTGCAATGCTCAAGTTGGGGCGGATTCTGCCATAATTCCGGGACTCATTCTGGCACCCCGAAACCATAAAGCCAAAACACCAAACCCTAAACTCCAAACCCCCCGTTTAGGGGTGGTAGGGTACAGGGCTCAGGGCATGGGACAGCTTCACACAGCGGCCTCGGTGCTGATCCAGCTGTCAAACTCCGCCGTGATCACCAGAAGCATGGGAAAACAGGACATCCAGACCTTGCTCCGTGAGGATTTTAGGGTTCAGGATTTAGGGTTTTGGTTTAGGGTTTAGGGCTTAGGGCTTAGGGTTTAGAGTTTATATAGGCCTTCAATGAGCCTATTAGCATGCAAAACCCTCTAACCCCTGCATCAACCCCATGAACTCTTAAGATGCTTGCTTTCAGCCCGTGTGATCTGGGGCTCGCGCTTTTGAAGCTAGAGTTCTGCGATCAGGGGCTGCAGTGAGTGAAGGATCTCCCTCCGATCACGCAGACCAACTCTGTATGCAAAGCCCGCTGGCGAACCCGAAGCTACCCGAAGCACTGAAGCCAAATCCTAAACCCGAAACCCTTGAATAAAAACTCCCTTCAGAAACCAACTTTATAAGCTCAATAAAAAAGGTACCTTTCTTGGAGTCGTAAGCGAATGTCAAGGTACTGCGAAACACCCGTCTTTTTCTAGCATTTAGTAGGGTGTTTTGCCATCAATGAAAGACTTTGGGAAACAACCGCGTCCACGTGACATCTTTTAGGCTAACAAAAAGACCCCAGAATCCATGGTCGAGATACAAAACAAACTGATGAAATAATGAAATTTCATTTTTGCGTTCTGAAGGACTTCACAAGCACCGGGTTTAGGGTTTAGGGTTTAGGGTTTACGGTTTAGGGTTTAGGGTTTAGGGTTCAGGGTTCAGGGTTCAGGGTTCAGGGTTCAGGGTTCAGGGTTCAGGGTTCAGGGTTCAGGGTTCAGGGTTCAGGGTTCAGGGTTTAAGGGTTAGGGAGGGTTTAGGGTTAGGGGTTTAGGGTTAGGGGGGGGTTTAGGGTTTAGGGTTTAGGGTTTAGGGTTTGGGTTTAGGGTTTAGGTAGGGTTTAGGGTTTAGGGTTTAGGGTTTAGGGTTTAGGGTTTAGGGTTAGGTTTAGGGTTTAGGGTTTAGGGTTTAGGGTTTAGGGTTTAGGGTTTAGGGTTTAGGGTTTAGGGTTTAGGGTTTAGGGTTTAGGGTTTAGGGTTTAGGGCACCCCTAAACCCTAAACACGGTTGAGCCCGTCCCGCACTGCTGGGGCGCCCACGGCAAAGACGGTGTTGGCGACGTATCCCAGCCTTGCGGCTTCCGTGTTTAGGGTTTAGGGTTTAGGGTTTAGGGTTTAGGGTGTAGGGTTTAGGGTTTAGGGTGTAGGGCTTAGGGTTTAGGGTTTAGGGTTTAGGGTTTAGGGTTTAGGGTGTAGGGCTTAGGGTTTAGGGTTTAGGGTTTAGGGTTTAGGGTTTGGGGTGTAGGGTTTAGGGTTTAAGGTTTAGGGTTTAGGGTTTAGGGTTTAGGGTTTAGGGTTTAGGGTTTAGGGTTTAGGGTTTAGTTTAGGGTTTGGGGTTTCGGGTTGTTCGTGTTGAAAACTGACAACTCGCGGACTTCTTGGGTTCGAAGGTGACAAAATTAGGGTCTCGAGTTTTGGCTTAGGATTTTTGGGCTCAGGGTATAGGGTTTAGGGTTTAGAGTTCTTGGGCCTAGGGTTTAGACTTTCGAGTTTTGGGTATGAGGTGGCAAGGCAGGTTCTTGATTCGCCAAGCAGCCAGAACTGGCAATCCGTGAGGTAGGCCCGCGTGGCCTTCAGGCGGATGGTGTCTAGGTAGGCGTAGCCTGTGGCGCCAGATGGCTTGTGGCAAGGGTCTAGGGTGTCGGGTTTTCGGGTTAGGGCAACTGGCTCAGGGTTCAGGGTCTAGGGTAAGACGGAGACCTGAAGCCTTCAGCCTGCACAGCCGCGACAACTGCGGCCCCTTAAGCCCTAAACCCTAAACCCTAAAACCCTAAACCCTAAACCCTAAACCCTAAACCCTAAACCCTAAACCCTAAACCCTAAACCCTAGCTGCTAACCCTAAACCCTAAACCCTAAACCCTAAACCGGCAAGCCACGCGAAGCCAGCACAGCTTGGATGACCAAGAGCGGCATGGCAACGTAGCGCGCAGGAGGGCTGTCGAAGCCCACCTGCCAGCTGCTCAGACTGCTTAGGGGTTTAGGGTTTAAGGTTTAGGGTTTAGGGTTTAGGGTTTGGGGTTTAGGGTTTAGGGTTTAGGGTTTAGGGTTTAGGGTTTAGGGTTTAGGGTTTAGGGTTTAGGGTTTAGGGTTTAGGGTTTAGGGTTTAGGGTCAGCAGCTTGTTTGCATGGTTGAGATACGGCTAGCGCTCACGAAGCAGCATCATCCTCATCATCACCATGAGGTTAAAAATCTAGCTTCTCATCGTCACCATGACTCTTTGCCACAGGTCGTAGTGACACATTACTATACTAAGTAGAAACCAGAGCTCCAGGTTCAAAATCTCCACCTTCAGCTCAAAGCCCTCGTTTAGGGTTTGGGGTTTGGGGTTTGGGGTTTAGGGTTTAGGGTTTAGGGTTTAGGGTTTAGGGCTCTTTCTTGGGCAAGAGACGCACAGGTTGTTGTATCCGACGATGCTGCGCAGGATGTTGTCGCGGAAGATGCCTCTTGGAGAAGCCAAGACTCTAGGGTTTAGGGTTTAGGGTTTAGGGTTTAGGATTTAGGGTCTGGGGTTTGGGGTTTGGGGCTTAGGGCTTAGGAAAACCAAGCCCTCGGTGAAGTCCCCTTCCCATGATACTCAAACGTTTCGCAGGCACCTTATGACTATACTCCCCCTTAGAAACCTTAAAAAAATGCTATGTTTAATAGGGTTTCATCTAAAGAAGAAAGTAAACCTGAGGGGGCTACAGATGAACACCCGATACATGAAGGTTGCGAGTGCGTTGACACACTAAAGCATTGGGTGCAAGGGGGAAATTTCGGACTTCGGATTTACGGAGGTTCGCATCAAGACTTGGTTTAGGGTTTGGGTTTTGGGCTTTAGGGTTTGGGGCCTAGCCAAACCCTAAACCCTGAACCCTAAACCCTAAACCCTAAACCCTCAGGGGGGTACACTGGAGATGCCCCCGCCTGGGTTGAACATGGCCGTGCACAGCCACGAGACGCCAATGCAAAGCACGAACATCTCACCGGTTGCTTCCAGCCATCTTTCCGGCCTGAGGGTTTAGGGTTTAGGGTTTAGGGTTTAAGGTTTAGGGTTTAGGGTTTAGGGTTTAGGGTTGTGGATTAAGGTCTCAGGGTTTTGGGGCTTGAGGGCTTCTGGCTTAGGGCTATACGGGCCGTTTACAGCTATTTTGGGGCGTTAAGGGCCTTTAGGGTGTAGGTTCTGAGGCCTTGGGCCAGGTACCGTAAAATGCCCAAAAGCTCCAGCCAACCAAGCCCTGAACGCCCCATGAAACATGAACCCTAAAAGCATCAAAAAGCTACGGTCCTGGGCTCGTGTTAAGGCACCTATAGAATATGTTGCCAGTACAAGAACACCATATCTGATTATTTTGAGTGCCTGAACAAGAGCCAGATTGGTGGATATTTACATATGACCTGCCTCTTGTTTCCAAATGTAGCTAAGAGCATGATCAGTTTACAGCTTCTTGTCATTTTATGCATATATGGGTAGCTATCTAGTATTCTACATGTAAGGCAACCTTTCAGAAAAGGAATTTCAAGAAGGGCCCCCTTATTCACTGGAACCGCCCCACATATGCGACAGATAACTAAACCCTAAACCCTAAACCCTAAACCCTAAACCCTAAACCCTAAACCCTAAACCCTAAACCCTAAACCCTAAACCCTAAACCCTAAACCCTAAACCCTAAACCCTAAACCCAGCCGCAAAGGGGGTCACACTCCCGCCTCTGGTAGAACTTCTCCTCGACCTCGTAGTTTAGGGGCTTAGAGTTTAGGGTTTCGGGTTTAGGGTTTAGGGCTTAGGGTTTAAGGTTTAGGGTTTAGGGTTTAGGGCTTAGGGCTTTAAGGTGCTGGCTTCTGTCAGATGTACGCTTAGGCTTGGGGGTCAAGTGCTCGACTGCTAAGGGTTTGCGGTTTCAATCGCGGTCTTCGGGTCCGGAGGTTAAGCTTCTCCCCCATACCTGTCAAAAAGCCTGAACGCAACGTCTCGTGCTGTTTATGTACCAAGCAGGCGTCAATCTTGACAAGTCCCATATAAATGTCAACACATGAGAAAGCACTCGCCAGGCGGGCGCCCTACAGACTTAAAAGGCTTTAGAGGGTTTAGGGTTTAGGGTTCAGGGTTTAGAGTTGGGTTTGCACCCGGCAGCAAGAATCACTTCGCATCGTGTGACAACCTGCATCCTGACCCCGAAGCGGCTCATAGTTCTACGATTCTACACATTGACCCCGAAACACTGGGGTTCAGGGTCTAGGGCAACTCCTAGACAACTTCTGCTAATGAAACATTCCAGACGACTTCCGCAAGAACAGCTTTTGCTTCGACGAGCCACATCGGGGTAAGGTCGACGCATCAGCTGCCAAAGAGCAGGCCCGTCCCTGACATCTAACTCCATGGACAAGTCAGAGATTCAGGGTTTAGGGTTTTGGGTTCAGGGTTTTTGGGCTTTAGGGTTTAGGGTTTGGGGCTTAGGGTTTAGGGATCAAAGGTTGAAGGTTTCGGGAGTGATCACCTAGACCCGGCACCCCCTGAAGCCCAATTCGCATCGAACAAACCCTCCCCCCTCCCCCATGCTCCAGGAACCCTAAACCCTAAAGCCTAAACCCTAAACCCTAAACCCTTGGCCCCAGGATCCTGCTGAACGGGCTCCGCCATCGCTCTCCACGCGCCTCTGCGTAGAGATCCTGAGCTTGCAAGGCACAGCAGCGTCCCACCGCAAGCTTCGTGACTAGATTCCGAAACCCTGAACCCTACTGTAAACCCTAAACCCTAAACCCTAAACCCTGGCGGTTCTGAGGGGGCAACTTTGGGACAACTTGATACGACGTAAGGCACATCTGAAAGGCCAGTAGGATCAAGACCCTAGGGTTTTGGGTTTAGGGCTTAGGGTTCACCCTGCGATCATTCGACAAGCGTCGAAGGAGTACATAAACACGGTGAACAGGGAGAACATCGCGGCCTCTCACCGTCACTCCCAAGACGGCCACTGCTTATTGAACATGGATGAACATGGCAAAGGCAAACGCTCCAAGGAATAGCTGAGCTCTGAGCAATTCGACCCAACCAGGGGGCATCTCAGCTGCACACATGCATGCAGATAGGGTTTGACGTTTAGGATTTAGGGTTTAGGGTGCAGAGCTCTGGGGGTGGCGCAGAGAACCCGAAGCCCGAAACCCCGAAAACCTAAGCCCTAAGCCCATAATCACGAGTGGGCATGAAAAGTGTTTAGCTGCTGGGTGCCTTGGGCACCTTGGCAACCCGAGACCTTTCTTCCGATACGCCCGACTCACAGCCAGCGAGGCTGCAAAGGGGGGTTAGGGTTTAGGGTTTAGGGTTTAGGGTTCAGGGTTTAGGGTTTAGGGTCTAGGGCTTAGGGTTTAGGGTCTAGGGCTTAGGGTTTAGGGTCTCTGGTTTAGGGTTTAGGGTTTAGGGGTTACGGTTTAGGGTTTAGGGTTTAGGGTTTAGGGTTTAGGGTTTAGGGTTTAGGGTTTAGGGTTAGGCTTTAGGGTTTAGGGTTTAGGGTTTAGGGTGAAGGGTTTAGGGTTTAGGGTTTAGGGTTTAGGGTTTAGGGTTTAGGGTTTAGCGTTTAGGGTTTAGGGTTTAGGGTGGGCTGAAAGATACTTAATGAGTTGCGAAGGCAACTGTCGGGACATGTGGGGGCAAGCGTACGTACATGTTGTCTACGAAGTATCCTAAGCCCTAAACCCTAAACCCTAAACCCTAAAGCCCTAAAGCCTAAACCGCAAGTCATGCCGTCTCAGGTGTGAGAAGGGCTTCAGTGTGAGTTTTTGTCGAACGTGCAAACTGCCTGCTGAACAGAACTGGCTGTGGAACGACCTTCTCGTGAAATCCAAACTCTGAAGCCCCAAACCCTAAACACCAAAACCCACAAACCCTAAACCCTACTTTAAAACCCCAAACCCTAAACCCCAAGCCCTAAACCCAAAACCCTAAAACCGCCCAAAAAACCAGCCAAGGAGCTGAGTGAGGTGTACCAGTCTTGAACCCTAAACCCTAAGCTTCTAAACCCTAAACCCTGAACCCTGAACCCTAAACCCTAAACCCTAAAACCTAAACCCTAAACCCTAAACCCTAAACCCTAAACCCTGAACCCTGAACCCTGAACCCTGAACCCTGAACCCTGAACCCTAAGCCGAGCAGCTGAGTGAGGTGTACCAGTCGTGGCCCGACTTCGGGTGCGGCACA